ATGTGTTGCCACCATTTTTACAGCTTGAAGGATATTAACACTGCACAGGAGCTGAGAAGACTCACTTTTGTAAAGGATGGGATTTGTCCCATAGCTTTAAAATCCTGCTGTGCTGGTTTTACTGCTTTAATTTTCTCTTTTAAGGTGCCTCCTGGGACACATGACTATCCTGATGGCTTCCTGAAAAATGTCACCATCTACAGGCGGTCACATCCAAGGTCTGGGCAGATGAGGTCTGGCAGCTCTGTGCATCCACAGCTCCTCCTGTGCAGGTCTGCACCCACCCCTGCACTTTTGGGAAGCTGTGCAGAGGCTGTTGTTGGGCAGCAATTCCAGTTTGCTTGGCACTTTGTAAGGTGATACTATAAAAGGGAAACTAGTGGTGGTGTTGTTAATGAGGAGGCATGAACTACAAATAATCACAGAATTTCAGAATGGTTTGGGTTGGAAGGGATGGCAAAGCCCATCCAGTGCCACCCCTGCCATGGCAGGGACACCTTCCACTGTGCCAGGCTGCTCCAGCCCCAGTGTCCAGCCTGGCCTTGGGCACTGCCAGGGATCCAGGGGCAGCCCCAGCTTCTCTGGACAATCTGTTCTCATCTTTTTTTTTTTCCAAAAAATCTGCTTAGGATGTTGTAAAGATCAGAACACAAGGATGTGTGGGACATGCTTTCAAAACACCAAATGTTGGAATTAATTAAAAAATATCTTAGACTGCTTAAAAAATGTTTTCCATATACTTGAAAGTTTTGGCCTGGTGTGAGGACAATGATGCAGAAAACATCTACAGCTGCTTGTACCATCAGCTGAAGTGTCCTCCTGTCTAGGAGAGCTGGTTGATATTCAAGGATCACCTTCTCCAAGCTCAGTGAGCAGAAACTCAGGCAAAAATTCTGGGAGGCCTCTTGGATGAAGAAAAACCTCCTGGCAAAACTCAGACACAGAGAGGGAGTACCCAAGAGGGTGGAAGCAGGCAAGAATAACCCAGAGGGAATACAGGGACATTGTCCAAACATTCAGAAATGTGGTTAGGAAAGGCCAAGCCCAGCTGAAGATGAATCTGTCCAGGAATGTCAAAGACAATAAGAAAGGTAAGGAAAGGAAAGGGGAAAAGGAAAGGGGGAAAAGGGGAAGGGGGAAGGGAAGGGAAGGGAAGGGAAGGGAAGGGAAAGGGAATCTTCTGTAAGTTTATGGTGACACCAGGAAGGCCAGGGAAAATGTGGCCCCACTGCTGTGGGAACCTGGTGACACAGGACATGGAAAAGGCTGAGACCCTGAATGCCTTAGTGGCCTCAGTCTTCCCTCAGCAGAGCAGCCTTCAGGAATCCCAGGTCCAAGAGATCAGTGGAACAGTCTGGAGCAAGAGACGCAGCCCTGGGCAAGGATCAGGTCAGGGAATGCTTAAGCAAACTGGATATGTGTAAATGCATGGACTGTGACGGAATGTGCCTGCAAGGGCTGAGGGAACTGGCAATGCCATTGAGGCCTCTGTCAATAGTCTTTGAGTCACTTTGGGTGATCATGGTGACTGGGAGAAGTGCCTGAAGACTGGAGAAAAGCAAATGCCACTCCTGTCTAAGAGAAGGACAAAAAAAAGGATGCAGGAACCTCTGAGCCTCATCTCCATCCCAAGAATTCACCAGCAAACTCCATCGTTACCTTCTGAGAGTTAATTTTCAGCTTTTTCCAGTGGGTGGATTCATTGCCAAATGCCCCACTTATCAAAATAAGTTTTTGTCACAGTTTTTCTTCAGACTGTCCTATAATTGTTGGGAATTATTTTGAAAAACAAATAGTACTTAGTGCAAACTCTCAAAACTTTACTGCACCCATAAAATGCAACAGGCAGCAGTCTGAAAAGGGAGGACAGAAATTAGGTACAAGAAGCAGAAGTGATTGAAAGTGACATTTTCCCAGGAAGATTGAATTGGCTGAGAAGAAAAGCAAAGCACCATGAAAACAGGTGAAAGTCCTCTTGAAAGAAAAGATTTACTTCAAGGAAGAGTAAAGGTGTGCTGAACCAGCACAGTGATTTATCTCAAATGTTCTCATCTACTGAAACCAAATACCCAAAGTTTTTTTTTTTATTTCCTTGCCACATCCTTAAATGGAGAATGATTTTGATTAATTATATTTGAATTACAAATTACCTCTGGCAAATTTCTGAAGTGGTGAGTAAAAGAAGAAAGATGCCCAGTAAGTGTTTCCTCACTGACTTGAAAATTAAAATATTGGTCTGTCAGCTACTGCTGAAAGTTTTTCTATCCATATGTTTTGTTTAAAACCCTTCATAAAGTGACCTTTAATAATGCATTATTCAATATTTATGGGCAAACATTCAAATTGCCCCACTGGAACACTCAATTATTCTTTCAAGGTAATGAAGCTAATTATTAATTTTATAATACATTTAATTTCCTTGCTGCAAAGGAAAGCTAAAGCTAATCAAGAATAGTAAGGAGAAAAAATAAAGCCATGAAAAATAACAGAGCTAAACATGACTACAAGTCTGTAAATCACTGGAGGGGCTCTAAGGTTGTTCCAACCCTGGAAGATTTTTTACTCAAGCACAGGGACCAAATTTTGCTTCTATCTGCCCTCAAGAAAATCAGCTTTATATGGAATATATTAGAATACTTCCAAATACTAAATATGCAAAAGTAATGTATTTGGAACATGAAAGGAAAGAGAGCAAGATATTTGTTAAAGAAACGATAAAAAAAATATCTGTTGACTGCTTGGAAGGAAAGTGTTCAGTTTTGACTTAGCTGTGAATGCAGAGGCTTCCCTTTAGCAGAGCATGGACAAATATTTATCTTACTTCTTTGGAGCTAGAAATGAAAAGTATTCCTATCTTTATCTATTTCTACAGCTCCTGGCTTTGTGGTTCTACCCTGTGACTACACAGAAATCAGCAATTTCTCCCACTACTTTATTTCTTACTTGTTTTCCCTCTTATCTATCTGTGTGACACACTAATTTCCTGCCTTGAGTATTATAACTGTCTCCCTTCTGCTTGGGCTTTTTCTTCCCACATTTTTCTTTTAGCTTTCTCCAGCCAAACCCTTGATGCTTTCTTTTCAGTTTTCCTGCTTTTGAATGACCCTTCCTGATCCCACTGCCTCCCTTCCCTTCCTCTGTGCTCACAACCACTGCTGCTATAGTGAATATTGAACAAAAGACCCTACAGAGATTATTCATTACTCTTTTTCACATAGATGAGCACCTCTGATTTTGTGGTTCTGAGTAGGTTCAATTTTTGTGGTTCTGAGTAGCAGCACTCACACTGGAAAATGTATATACTAAAATAAAATAAAATAAAATAATTCAAAAGAAAATAAATCATGTTTTCAGAAAGCAAACAAATATAATTATGCCTTTTTCCCATTTGAATCCTACACTGCTGTGTCACATCCTGTATCCTGTAACAAAGACTGACAAATCTTCTGAGATTTTTTAACCTCAGTTAAAGTACCACAAAAATTTGCCTGTGCTGTTGGGAACTCAGGTATCAGTAAAACACCATGTTTGTGATCTGGAAATGTGATTGAGCCCAGGAGCTGAATGTACCTCAAGTACCTTTGTGGGAAATTTAGGATTTCTGTATAACTGATCAACATGAGAAGTAGAAGTTGTTTATTGTTTATATTATATATATATATGTATATATAAATATATAAGTAAATTATTGAGTATACATTTTTGATTGGTGTTTTGTTGACTTGTTTTTTGTTTGTATTTTTTTGGAGTATATGATTGGTTATAATTTAGATGTTTGACAGTTTTTTGTTATTTAGTTTTTACGGTCTTGATATTTGGTTTCTTAGTCTCTTCTTTTTTAATTTAGCACAATTTTTGTTTCAGTAGCTTTGACGAATTCCTGAGGCTTTGATAACAAACTTAGAAGCAGGCTGGCTGGTGCACACTATGGCTTAACCCTTGTAAATACATTGCAACATACCTTCAGGCAGCAAGGAGATGAAGCCTTAATTTTCTCCTTTTTTTTTTTTTTTGTTCCCTCCTGATTTAGATATCCCAAGTCTGATATTGGGTTATGTCAAAGAGAGAGAGAGGAACAGCTCCAGGACATCACCAAGGGGCTGTTACACGTCTGACAAGGCACAAGGCAGAAGGGACAAGCACATCTCCTGCAATCTGTCTTTATGAGCAGTTAATGGGAGCCAACTTTTGCTCCCAAGCACGAAGCAGCACAGTGAGACAGGGTTTATTAGAGGCTGGTTGGAGCTGGAGATGGGCAGATGCACCCACATATGGTCTTATTTATCCCAGGAGGGTCAATGGCCTGATGGCTGCAAGTGTGAGGAGTGGATTTGATGGCTCAGCCAGGCTCTTTCTGCTCCTGAATTCCCATGTTTTCGGTATGTGGGAGAATATGCTCACATGTTCCATTAGCTGGGATTAGGATTTTAGCTTTTATATTTTTCATATATTTGTAACCCTGCAATTCTTTAATGTATAGCTCTAAACTCCATATAGAGTGTGAGCTGCTGCTTTCCTATTTTGGTCAGAAACAACAATTCCTCTCCAGGCCTGGCAATCAAGGACACCTCACTGCCTCAGGCCTGAGAGATGGAAACAAAACTGAGTTGGGGGGCAGCAAACTTGGGGTGAAAGACTTCATTACCCAAAGCTGTAATTGGAAGATTAACCCCCAATATGCAAATGGACCCAACTTACAAAACCGTGAAATCCATGACCCATCATCCATTTTGGGTGTAGCCCCTGGGGGGCTTTGTCTGCCCTAAATGTACCTGAAGGCCCTTCAATAAAGAGAACTGCTTTTTATTCCCTAATTTTGCCTGACCTCTGTTTTTAGGTAGCCCCAAAAAGACATCAGCACAAACTTGTTGGGGCATCCCTGCAAATACAACACCCTGGTCATGTCATTAACAGGAGATATCGTGATCCACCCTCTTCCCAGCCTGGGCGTGGTGTCAAACCCTCCCTGGGGTGACCCAAACGTTCTCCTGCCGCCTCACCTGGGCGATGTGCCTTGGGAACTGCCATGTTCATCACCCTCCCTCCGTCCTGAGGCTTGGGGGGGGACGCGGTGAACCTGCAGATGCCCGACTCGGACGGCGTGCTGGACGTCAGGCTGTCCGTGTAGTCGTTGGTCCCTGCCGTGAGCTGCTCCGAGGACGTGTCTGATATGAAGCACTCCGTGATGGTGAACTTGGCGTGCCTCAGCTGCTCTTCCATCTTGGCGTGCTCGTAGGCCCTGGCCAGCTCTTCGTAGGTGGAGGAGGCACTTTCTGTGGAGACCATGCTGCTCCTCGCCCGGTCTGAGCGCCAGGGATGGGAGCAATGGGAGAGAGAAAACATCTGCTCAGTCTGTGTTTAGGAGGAAAGCCACGAGCATGATATTTCAGAGTAAAGCAGAGAGCCCTTGAAATTATCAAGGTGATTTAAATGAATCTGCTTCAAATGCCTGCTATGGAGGGGCTTGACAGCTGGCCTGCAAGCAAAGCTGAGTTAGCAGAAGAAATAACAATTGATGATTTTCAAGTGTATCCACAGCAAGGAAGAAGACAAGGCCACCAGCATGGGAACAGATTAGAAAAGATTCATAAATATTTTTGTAAGCTAGACTAAGTAAATATGCATAAGTAGATGTGTATACATGCCTTATTAAATGTCTGTAAAACTTTTGCCAATTATATTGACACTAATTGCTTTGCACCAATGAATATAATAAATCATTGTCATGTAGTTAATGACTTAAGATCACGCTTTGTTAAGAGTATATAAGCTGGTGAACACAAAAAATAAAAACTTTTTCCTCTTAGATCCTAATCACATATGTGTGTGTGTCACGTCCGACCTAACAGTGACAGCCTGCACAAGTGTTAGTTTAGTCAGAAAATCAACAATTACAGATAATCTAAAGTGAAGCCTTATCCTGTGAGCAGCATTAGATGCCTTAGCATTAAATTCATGTTTCTTTTATAAAAAATAACCTTTACTACATGAAAAATATTTCTTTTTCAACAAAAAATGATTTCTCTAAATCTGAAATGCCTTCAAAAGGTTTCAAACCCACAAACCAGATTTTGCAAAATAAGAAACAGCTTTTTTACATTATCTTTTTAATGCATCTCAGAAATATTTCACTGGGGCTATGTACAGGTGAGAAAGGAAAGTCTTTTTGTCCTGCTACCATCATACATTTTTTTTTTCTTTTTTTTTGGAAAGTGCTGAGAACAAAGGTCAAATAGGAAGGCAGCAGCTCTCAGATATTATCTCTCTAGACACCAGGTAAAACACTAACTCATTTCATTCAGAACAAAGGTCTTCAGAAAGCAATATCTGGCAACTACAGCCTGCAGTCATTCAGTTGCCTTTTTTCAGTGCTGCTGAAGCTAATGAGGGAATTCATATTTGACACACAGGTTATTATGACCTACAAGCTGTTCTTTTCTGCTGATGAGTTTCTGAGAATATCAATATTTCTTAAACAACACTGTTATTGAAGATGTAAATGGCTACAGATACATTAAAAAGCACTCTGGAAATGCAGGGCTCCTTTCTGCAGGGACGGAATTGCTGGGCTGTTGCACCCACAGTGTTTCTACTGCAGTGGGCTGGAAGAGCAGAGGACTTTGAAAAGTTCCTTGGGCAGAAGTCATGTTTCATCACAAGATCTGTGCAATTTCAGACATTGTTTGTGATGCTCAATAAACAGGCACAGTGTAATAGCTAATTCATAAAAATGGACCTCCTGTAGCAGCCAGAGGCAAGCGCGTCATTATTGCAAATCTTTATCTTTTTTATTGTGTGCCTGCACCCCTGCATCAGTTTTCATTGTGCACAAAGAACAGTGCTCCTGCCACTTTTAAACACAACCATCCATTATTTAAAGTGACAAGTACTTCTGCTGTAACTTGCTTAAGATTTGGAGCTGACCAGAACTTAACAGGGTTTCTTTAGATTTTTCTTTTTTTTATTTTTTTCCCTTTCCACCCACAGGAAACATCATTCTGTTTTTCACATTTGATTTGTGCAGCAGACCTCAGTGATGTCTTCCCATATTTCCGGTCAGCTGGAAACTCCCAGGAGGCAGCAGCTGACCAGTGCCATGGAGCAGTGCATGTGAGTATCGTGGTCATGCAAAGGTCACAGCTTGGGCTACTGAAGCTCAGGACCTGCAGCTTCCCACATCCCATGCCAAGAGGGAGAATATTCCAGAACCAATCTGCCTGAACACCTACTTTAGATTTGATGGAAGTTTATCCAAGCCTAGGGTGAACTTTATGAAACTTCTTGGACTTCATGAATACAGATTGGTCAGGAAATTTCTAATGGCCTCTAGGTAGAACATTAGAACTCGGTCACAGCTATGAACTCTGCCAGGCATTTCTCCTAAGCTGAAAAGCTACTGCTTTGTAAGCCTGGAATTGTTTTGATAAGTGCTAAATTCTGCCAAATATCAACTGCGTCAACCAGCTCCTGAAATCTGAACTCCAGATTGGAGAAGTGATCAAATGTGCACATTAGCTCAATTGATTCTTGAACACATAATTTGGCTACATATGTTTATTTGAAAGTTTTAAACTTCTAAAGCACTTAAATTAAATGGACTCTACTCTCTTCCCAGAAATCAAGTGGTGTAACAGAGCTGCTTTTTGGCACAAGAAAAGCTTTCTTGATTTAAAGCTTGCTATCCCTCACATAAATCACCGTGTGCTCAAAGGTAGACACAGAGTAGAAAAGTAGGCTTGTTAAAATATAGATTATAAAGTCTGTTTACAGAATTGGATGTAGTTTATCTACTAAACCACACAGTAAATTTAATTTCTGCCCTTTGCCACACACATTGGAAAATATCCTTGGGTGACAACAGGTTGGAACACATCCAAATTCACCTGCAGTCTGGAGTGTCTACAGAAAGGGTTTCTGAGAGGAGATTTTCTATTTATATTTAGATTTGTATATTTAATAACCTTAAAAATTTATGATAATTCTACCTGAAGGTTGTCAGCTGGCTGGAAGAATCTAGTGACTGCCATTACCCCATAGAGAAAACAGAGGGGTTTAAGAGGGTGAATTATGAAATATTGAGAACTCCAGGCTGTAAATTACTAAATATGAGTGAAGTCAGATACTTTTTCTCATACAGAAAACAAACAGTCATACTGGTTTTTATGATGAAAGGCCACTCACATCCACTGCTTTGTAGCTCTAACACATCATGAACATCTTTCTCCTAAAATCAGGAGAGACAGTTGGCCCTTCCTTCTGAGGAAGCCAGAGCAAGCCTGGCTTCACTTTGGTCAGACTTCCCTTTGAGAAATATTTTACCATTCTTCTTTTTTAACCTTTATTAGATTTACTTCATGATGATTCTCCTAGTTAATAATTTAATAATTTGCTTGCATTTCTTTGTTGGTTTTTCAGCATAGGACAGTGGAGAAAGCTTTTTTTTTCCCCCAGTTGCATTTATGATGTGAAGGCATCAAGAAGAGATGAGGGCTGCAGGCAGAATATGTGTTCAGTGTCTCCCCACTTGTCATCTAGAGGAATAAACCCCATGCTGTTTCTCAGGGAAATCCTGGCCAGCTGCTACAGAATTCAGTGCTATGAATGGATTTTTATTTGGACTCTGATTGCAGTTTTTCCTTTTTTTTCCCCCCCCCCTTCTCTTTCCCACTGAGAATGAACATATTACACGAACGGGAAAATAAAAATACTAACCTGAAGGTTGTTCAAAGCCTCAAATAATTCCAAATATGACTCAAGAATATTCTTGCAGGAGAATTTGACTAGGAATTGTCCATTCCTAGTCAAATTCTCCTACTTTTGCTTTTTGGTTCAGGAAACTACAGGAAAATTTGCCACCTTGTCTTTGAAAGGATATGTGTGGAATGAGGAACCAGAGGCACAATATTTGTTGTCATTATCACTACAAGCATTTTTGGCAGCCCTCAAAAATAATCTACAGAAAAACCACCCTGGCAAGGGAAGAACAACAACACCTGAGCTCCAATCAGGGAACACCCAGGAACAGAACTGGTGGCACAGGCTGCTCACACAGGAGATGGAGTTCCCACCCTTGGGGACATTCAAAAACCATTTGGGGATGTTCCTGAGCAACCAGTCCTTGCTGACCCTGCTTTAGGCAGGGGGGCTGGACTGACCAGTGCCCAGGTGTCCCTCTGATCCTGTGACTTGGGAGGATCCTGTCAGCAATGGGAATGTCCAGGTGCTGCTGGGATCCTGTCAGCAATGGGAATGTCCAGGTGCTGCTGGGATCCTGTCAGCAATGGGAATGAGCAGCTGCTGCTGGGATCCTGTCAGCAATGGGAATGAGCAGCTGCTGCTGGGATCCTGTCAGCAATGGGAATGAGCAGGAGCTGCTGGGATCCTGTCAGCAATGGGAATGAGCAGCTGCTGGGATCCTGTCAGCAATGGGAATGAGCAGCTGCTGGGATCCTGTCAGCAATGGGAATGAGCAGGAGCTGCTGGGATCCTGTCAGCAATGGGAATGCCCAGGAGCTGCTGGGATCCTGTCAGCAATGGGAATGAGCAGCTGCTGGGATCCTGTCAGCAATGGGAATGCCCAGGAGCTGCTGGGATCCTGTCAGCAATGGGATGCCAGCAGCCGCTGCTGTCCCGGTGTCCCTTTGGGGAGCCCCGTCTGTACCTGTGTCCTGCGAGGGGCTGACGCTGTAGCTGTCACTCTCCTTGTCCACTGATCCTGCTGGCCGGGGCGTGGGCAGCCTCCAGTCTGTGGTGAGGGTGTGGGCTGATATGGTGGGGTGGGGTCTGTTGAGGGTCCACTGGCTGGCGTAGCGGTTGCGCGCGGTGGGCCCGGTTTTGGCACTCCTCCTCGTGGTGGGATCTGTGAGGGATGGCACAGAGAGGGTGGGAAGGAAACCAGCCCTGTCAGAATCACAGAGTGCTAGGATGTCCCGGGACCCACAGGGTCAAAAGCTCCAAGCCCTGGCCCTGCACAGACCCCCCAGCAATCCCACCCTGGCCATCCCTGGAACAGTGCCCAAACACTCTGGCAGCCTCAGGGCCATGCCCGTTCATCCAACCACCTCTGGGTGAAGAACCTTTTCCTAAAATCCCACCCAATCCTTCCCTGACACAGCTCCAAATATTTCCTCGTGTCCTGCCCCTGATCAGTGCCTGGCCCTTCACTTTCCCCTTCCAGAAGGGGATGGCCACTGAAATCATCTTTATTAATAAAACCCAAACTCAAGATATTCTCTTTGGGGGAAAAAAAAATGAAGTGTTAATGCTGATCATTACCAAACTGCTGATGCTTTTCTAGAACTACTCCCTTTCTAATGAAACTCTATGTTTTATCAAGGGTGGAACTGAAGAGCTGAAGGCCCCATCATTCTTCCATTGACACATTCATTATCCCTTTACTCCAAGACAAGCAGTTCTCCAGCACTAAACCACTCTGAGAACTGAAAGAGCACAAGGCAAGTAGATCTGCTCAGGGATTTCACACCACACCTCAAGTGAAGTGCAAATTATCATCATAGATGTGCCCACAGAAACACCCTGCACCAGGTACCTGCTGTCAGTTTTGAAACAGATGTGCTCAGAAAGGTGGGGCTATAATTTTCTCTTCTGTTACTATATTACAGTATTGATCAGCTACAGATTTCCTATTTTAACAAGTGGCCAAGACATAAAACATAAGTTGTAATAGTGCCATGAGAGTTTCAGTGGGAACAGGTTCATAAAGATTTGACTGCTTTGGAACAATTAGTAAATTACTACAATTTCTCAGACTTTAAAAATCATCTGCTACTGGTTTAAGGTCAGCAAGGTTGTGCTTTTTAAATTAACTTAGAGATAATATAGTGACCAAGATTGTAAAAGCAACCTATGTGCCAAAATTGACCTCTTTGAACTTATTAATAAAAGAGTTCTGCCCTGAAAGTGAGTCTAACAAAGCAAGGGTAAGAGAAAAATCATTATGTAGCAAATAGAGAGTGACTACATCAGCACTGAAGGATTTCTCTTCAAAGCTTCTGAATAGATATCACTTACAATAGAAAGGGTGTTAGAAATGAAAAATTCAAATCTATTCAAAATGTTCTTTGACATTCAAATGGTGAAGTTGTCAGTCTTTGAGGTAAGAGACTTTAGCAAAAGAAATGGAAAGAAAAAGCAATACCCAGATAATAACTCTGAGCACTGCTCCTGCTTAAGCATTTCCAGTGAGAATTTGTATTCTGCTGCTTCAAAGAAACAAGGCATTTATTTACAAATAATGGTCTGATCCATCTCCTTTTTTTCCCTTCAGCAGTGGAAAAATTAGAACCTGGTGCCACTGATAATTGATCCTCCTGGTCGTGTAGCACAGAGCTGCCTCACATGGACAACATCCAAATCCAAATCTGTGCTGAGATTTTGGCACAAACCAACACTTGGGAATGTGGCACGTGGCTGTGGTGTGGCCAGGAGTGAGCCTCATTCAAGGGACAATGTGGAGAACAGGAGAGTGCTGGTGAGAACAGCTCCTGGCACAGTGCTGGGGCTGCCTGGTCTGCAGAAGAGAAGGTTTGGGGGAATGCCATCGATGTACAGAAACACCTTAGGGGCAAGAGGACAAGAGAGGACAAGAGCCAAGTTTCTGTCAGTGGTGCTCAGTGAGAAGACCAGGGGCATTGACCACCAGGAGAAACTTGGGAGATTCATCCTGAATGTCAGGAAACACTTTAATGTGAGGGAGACTGAGCCCTGGCACAGGCTGCCCACACAGGAGGTGGAGTTCCCATCCTTGGGGACATTCAGAAGTCATCTGGGGGTGTTCCTGAGCTTAGGATCTGTGTCCAGCCCTTGCTGACCCTGCTTTAGGAAAAGGATGGACTGACCAGGGCCCAGGTGTCCCTGTGGACCTCAACCTCTGATCCTGTGACTTGGGAGGATCCTGTCAGCAATGGGAACGAGCTGGGGGAGCCTCTGCCAGCCCACAGGAGCTCAGTCCTCGTCCTGATGAGCAGGAGCTCTGCTCCAGCCGTGCTGTGCCTCTGAGAGGGGCTGGGCAGCACAGGCACAGCAATTCCAGAGCTGGCAGAGGGATGGAAACACAGCTGGTGCCCTGGTTATGCCAGCTCTGCTGTCAAACACAACTGGAGAGAGCTGAGCTCAGCAAGGCAAAGGTTCACAGAGCTACTCTTCAATAAATAAATAAATAAATAAATAAATAAATAAATAAATAAGGACAAGAGAAGAACTTCAAATATGCTGTAAAGGAATATTTGTCACTCAGTGAATGTGAGTGGGCTCAGACAGAAGGGTCCATAACCTCTGAGCCACCCAGCTGGGCTCTGCTCTGCTCTTCACAGCAGAAGTGGTGGCTCTAGACAAAATCCCATCACCCAGCCTGCAGCAAAGCTGGATTAGTGTCTTAAATCCAGAGAACATTACCTGGAAGTCTTTGACCCAGCCCTGTGCACTGCTGCAATCAGATCTGTACTGCTTAATAAAAGTGCTGGTGGATTTTTATTCTCAAGCAAGGCTGGACACAGATCATATTCTTACACACAAGTTAAATCCACATTTAATTTGAAGGAATTCTCTCCCTGGCTGCAGAAGAATCAAGCACAGAACTGCACACAAAAGAGGCATTAGAAAGGAAGGTGCTATAAAGTTCTGTGGTATGACACAGGTGTGAGGTTTTGGGGTGATGCCTCTTTCCTTATTAGAAAATCTGGTCCTTGAGGAACGACCTGAACAAAGATGAAAGGGCTAAAAAAGCAGCAAGGCCAGGACTAGAACACCTCTTGTTTAAAAGACTGTAGTGGAAATGGATTTTTCAAATTATCTGCATTCTAGCAACTGAGCTTTCAGCCTTTATGTTCACCAAATTCAGCAAGTAAATTCTGAAAAAATCAGGGGACAGAAATAATCTAAGAGATTTCAGAAATTGCACTGCAGTGAACTACATTTTGGTAAAATTTCTAACTCACAGCTAATCATTCAACCTACTATTTTTTTACCCATTTACATAGATATGGAACATATTCATGAGAGGAATGAGAAGAATGGATTGCATCAGTATATTAATTTATGATAGCATTTTAATCACTAGAAGAACAACTTGGCATGAATATATCTGGGAAAAGTAATTTACCATAATAACTAAAGCCAGAAATACAAGTTTTTCAGAAAAAGTAATAATGAGAATTGCTTTTTTTTTTGCCTGATGGAGAGGTAGGAGGAAAGTTGCTTTTGGAATACAATAAAGATTGATCACAGAGAAAAAAAAAACTGCATTACACACTAAAAGCCATTAAGGTAATTTACCCAATAAATTCTGGAAATTAAAATCTAGCATGCATTTGGTTTAATGAAGGCCAGGCATGAATTATTTCAAATTACACCTCCATTTTGGATGCATATGCAATTTCCCCCATATTGAACCACTAAGTGCAATAGTTTAAGAAATGTCCTCTGCTGACCTAAAAAGATTTTTCTCCACTCTCAGACAGAAAGATGAGGATGTAAATACAGGAGCATAGTATTTATTTTGTTACAGCTTTATCCTTTCTAAAAAAAACCCTGTTTTCTGATGTGCTTACTTGTTCCTGGCCGGGCATCAGAGACATCCACCAGTGGCCCTGTGGCTTGTGACACCGACTGGTAATGGACCGTGTGGGTGACAGTCAGGGACTTCTGCTTGGACGTCTCTCCAAAGTCAGCATCAGTGAGCAGAACCGTGGATCTGTCGTCTGTAAGTGGGAGAATAATCAGGTAATGAGCACGGAATGGTGGCTTTGCCTTCCTCAGGGCTTTGCAGCGAGTCCCCAGGCGTCCCCAGCCCGGTGCAACGCGGGCGGAGCGGCTCCCTGCTCTCTGCAGGGCTCAGGGGGCTTGGAAGGGAGGGAGACTCTGGGTTTAAACTCAAAGCCCATCTAAAACTAAAGAATGCATTTAATTTTTCCTGGTTATTTCACCTTAGAGACGTGCAGCTGGGGCAGACTGTTAAACACCCTCACAAAGAGCTGATTTTTGTCATCATTTGTGGCCCCAATTCCTTCATGGCCATCCTTTGAACACTGCCCTCTTCCCTTTCACTTTCAGAGAACTCAGATGATGTTTCCAACATCATATTTCAACATCATGTGTTGTTGATGTTTTCAACAAAATGTTCCATTTATTTCTTTTTATCAGCATGATTAGCAACGTCCTCAGTGTAGCCACCCCTGTCTTCCCAAAAGGAGGTTGCTAGGGGGTGTTTCTAACCAGCCCTCTCTCCCCTTTTTCTGCAGAGACAGGGATGACCCTGTCCCAGGACTGTTTTTTTTTACTGCAGCTTCAAAGAAAGTTGTGAGGTTAAGCCTGACCTTGGGAAGGAAGGAAAAGGTGAGCACTAACATTTCCTGCTGTGTGGTTCTGCTTCTATTTCTTCCCTGTGGGGTAGGACATATTCACCAAATTTCTACACACACCTTGATCATTGCAGTGCTATACAGAACTTGCTTCCTTTTATTTAATTTTTTTTCCAGTTGTGATCTCTGTATCGTATTTTGTTTTTTTGCTCCAAGGAGAAATTTGGTGCACTTGATCGTGAATGGTTTAATAGCAATAAATCTTTCACTGCCTTTGTGCTTGCAGAACAACTATTTGGTGTGCTATCAGACTTTCTTTTGCATTCTTTACAGTCTTTTTATCCATTCAGAGTTGCAAGAAAAGCCTCAAGGATTTCCTGCTGGGCTGTGCTATATAGTTTTGTAATGTGTTCTAAGGAACTGGCAGCAGCAGGACTTCTGGGCATTTACTAGTCAGCAGAGGTTGATCCACTTCTCTTAAGCACTCCTGGTTTTTGTTTTGGATTTTTTTTTTTTTAACTTGACAAGACACCATTAGGGTGAAGAGTTCTGCACAATAACAGAACACACATTTTTTACCCAAAGAAGGCTATAAATAGAATAACATTAGGAATCAAATCACTCAGTCTCTGGCAAAAGATGAGCTCTTATTCAGGTTGGGAATAAAGCCTCTTGGCAGCAAACTCTGTCAAACCCTGCCAAAATCCCTGCTTATTCTGGGTGGAAAGCTGCCTCTTAGCAAGGCTCTGATCACATTGCTGCAGTTCAGGCTCTAAGAGTATTTTCACTGGAGCCCCCCACTGCTCAGCAGCTGCCACTCAAAAGTTAAAGCTGTCTTTAGGATGAAGCCTGGCACAAAGGGCAGACTTTGGGAAGCTCAAATAATGATTTTAGAAAGCCTGTAAGTCTCCTTTTCAAACCTGGAATGGGCATGGACAGGAGGTGCAGAGATGCTGCTCTCAGCTTGCTGATTTTTCTCTCTGGCCACACCATCCCTGGATGCTGTTATGTTGTCAGCTTCTTTTATACAGAGTTTTATCCAAAAAATGCAAAGTTAGAAGTCTAGCAAGGTCAGTCAGGAGTGTCTTTCCACAGTGTGTGCTCATGCAGTCACCACATCAGGCTGCATTTCTATTCTGAGTTTCCAGATATTTTTAAATTATTTGGGAAAAAAAACCCCCAAACCCAACACCAAACAATTCTATTTCCTGTGACACTTCAGCTAAGCACCAGCCCCATGAGAAATCTTGTTTTCTGTTGTGTCAAACAGTTTAGATTTGAATTTTGCATGGATACACAGAAGCTGAAAACTGATCAAAATGTTGAAATATCATGTGCTATGAACAGGTGGATACAATATGCAACATGTAAGTTTTAAAAGGTAGCTAGCTGTAGCAAATTTTCAGATACTGAGAGCGCAGTTTCAGAATTTCATTTTCCCTTTAAGTAATGTCAGTGATCCAACTGCCTAGGCAGAGCCAAATGAGAAATCAGAATGAAAATCATAAAACTGCCAGTCCTCAATTACATTTTCTTCAAGAAACTCTTTCCAACACTTTCATTTTCCTAATGCCCTGCATTGTTTTAGATCCTATACTGAGATTACTTTAGTGGGAAATGACTCAAAGGAAAGAGAAAATAAACCCAGTACAGTTTTCAAATTACTTTGTAGCTCTTTTCTCTTGATGTGTGCAGCAGCAAAAAGGTGTGGAGAAAAGGAATTCCACCTAAAAGAACCTGTTACATTAACCAGGGGGAAAAAAGCTCAAATTTACCAATGGTCTCCATGGTGTCCCTCTCCTCTATCAGCAGCTGTGCTCTGGGAATGTCTATGTGCATCCTCAGTGTTTGCTGCTGCTTATTAAGTGTGTCTGATGTCCTGGTGTTCTTGCTGAAAACAAAAGAGAAGTGAGGACATTAACATTCAACCTAAATGAAGAGATATTTGCAAACTTCCTCGTTTTCAATCTGTCCAGCTCAAAAAAAACCCACAATCAGCAAAAACCACTCATACATTTGATTCTGCCCTCTTCATAACAAGTGCATGGTATTAATTTGTTTAATTTGCACGTGGCAAGGCATTAGATGAATGCAGAGCTTGGAGGGATGTGCTCTGTCCTCTATCAGCAGGAACCTGAGAATTTCACACAGTTTTCTTCAAGTGGTGTCATAATGAAATGAATAAAAACACTTTGGAAGATGGACCTTTTCTTTCACTCTTCATGAATCTGAGTAAAGCAACACACAGCTGATCAAACAGGTTGGTAGGAAAATGATGTCTTGAGTAATTTCTAATTGTTTTTTTATCTTTTCATTATTTTTAATTAGCTAAGTTTCAAATATCACTTAGATTGATAAATGAAAAAGCAAATTAATAGTCAGGCATACTATTAATAGATTGCATAAAATAAATAAAGGCTTTAGTCCCATTGATGTTCCAAGCCAAAAATTACAAATCTTGTTTACATTTGTGGATTATGTCTAATTGATTGATGCAATAATCTAAAAAAGAACATAAACCAATTATTTTATCATCATGCAAATTGAAACAATTTCATTTTGAAGTTTGTGTACCAGAAAATGACTTCTTAAATGAGCTGTCTACCAAAAGCAAATGAAAATGGATGGTAAAACCAAGAGCCACAGTCATTTCTAGCACAGAGCTTGCACCAAGAAACCTTCAGATTCCACTAAACAGGAACATTTTGCCCTTTTAGATGTAATTACTCTCTGGATGAAATGAAATATTTGCAAATACTTCATGCAGGGAGGCTGAGGAGAGTTGAGACAAATCAGCCAGCAGCATGATCCAGGTGCTCAGGCTTCAAAGAGCTGTAAGATCCAAGCAGAGGCTCATTTTCTAGTGTAAAATAGCTGCAGATCACTCAGCTTAATTCTGCTTTGGCAGTGAATTATTGTTGTTAATGGAATCAGCAGAGGACTGTTAAAGGGATGAGCTCAGGTCTGTGAGCACGGGAGATTAATCCACGTGTGGTGAGCCCACATCTCCAGGAAATTCGTGTTAACTTCCTGCTGTGTCTCCATGTCAGCAAGCCCTGATTACCTCAGGTTTGGACATTCTCCTAGAGAGACTCTTTTTGGAGGAATTTTCCAGCCATGTGGTCAGTGGTTCTCCTCCAAATCCAAGGGTGAGATCCACAAGGCACCTGGGAGCACCTCTCTGATTTTCACCTCTCAGCTTTCCTGCTGTTGTGTGCTGTTGTAACACCATCTATACATCCCAAATTTAATGTGTCTCTTCTCCTGGGTGATTAGATGGTGCTGTTCCCACCAGATACACGTGGATATTTGAAATGCATTCAAACAGGCCACAACTGGTGCCTCATTCAATCATCATGGAAGCAAAATATCAGAAGAGCCTCCCAAGAGCTTCCAGACTTTTCTCCATATATAATCAGGGGAGAATGGTCATCACAGAGTCTTACTAAAAACATAAATTTTCAAAGATATCTAGTATTTTCAAATGCAGGTAAATTCCACACTGGTGTTCTCTAAGTCTCTGCACGGAGTGGATGCCACTCAAGTTGCTAAAATGTTGAGAGAATCAGACAGTAATATTTTATCTGCATGCCAAATATGCTTGGACACAGGCCCTTGGAAAGTTGGACTGCTCTGGGCTTGCCCAAAGTTGTAGAGCAAAGGTAGAGCACCTCTTCAAGTGCCTTGCTGCCCTCTGAGTAAAGAATTCTTTCCTAGTATTTAATCTAAACCTGCCCTCTTTCAGTTTAAAGAAGGAAACTGATTTTTTGAATGTCCAATTGCAATAATCCAGTAGTTCCAGGACACACAGAGTCAGATACATCTAGAGTCTGTGCAGTCCATAACTGAGTCTGGGAAATGCATCACTGCAGCCCTCTGCTCCCACTGGGGATGCAGGAGACGAAGGGATGGGATCAGACTCCTGCTCAGAGACTGCAGATCCCAGAATGCCAGAGCTGGAGCTCTTCAGCAGCATGAATGCTCTGTATTTCCACTATTAGAAAGTACTCAACCAACACAGGAAGCATTGTTTGGACCACATGGAGCAGGAGCAGAATTTTCCCCAGGTTTGCAGTTTTACTGCTCACCTGACAAGAGAGAATTCCCAATCCCAGCCTTGGCTCCAGGGATAGTTTCATGCAAAATATGTGGGAGGTTTTTCAAGCCAGAACTGGAACCTAGGCCTCTCTATATTCAGGAATATTCCCTGCTATTCTTAAGAGTTATTCCTTGGTTTGTGGGCTGTCTCTCCTCCTCCTTGCTGAGCTAATTAATTCCCCTGCATGCAGCAGTGACATGGGGTGTCCAAACACAGCACAGGCAGCTGGCAGAAGCAAGGGGGTTGCTGCTGATTAGGATGCTGTCTCATTCTGGCTCAGGGAATTTTGAATTCTTTTTTTGCAGACCACAACAGCTCAGCTTTCAAGTTATAAAATCCTAAAGTGCCAACAGCAATGAAGAGCCTCTAGGGCTTGGAAACAGGGCAAAGAAGGTTTAACTTTTGAAGCTTGGTTAGAAGTATTTCCTAAACTAAATTCAGGCAAAAATATTTTAATGGTCTGGTGGATGAGGAGTCCAATGATTAATTCTTTAAAGGGATAAAATGTATCTATCTTTATTTTTTAAAATATTTACAGACATAAAATTCCCAAACACAAGCATATGCTTTTCATTACTTATCAGACCTTGTAAGGATCTGTGTATAACAGAATTAATTCCCTTTGGTTCAAAGATTCTCTGAGCTCCAAATCATTAGGCACTGGGAGCCTGTCAGGAGACTGGGTCACAGAATCACAGAATCATGGCTTGGGTTGGAAAAGACCTTAAAGATCATCTCATTCCAACCCATGCCACGGGCAGGGACACCTCCCACTACCCCAGGGTGCTCCAAGCCCTGTCCAGCCTGGCCTTGGACACTTGCAGGGATGAAGAGTCCACAACTTCTCCGCACAACATGTTCCAGTGCCTGATTGCCCTCAGAGTAATGAATTTCTTCCCAATATTCAATTAAACCTGCCCTCTTTCAGTTTAAAACCTTGCCCCTTTTCCTGTCACTGTCTGCCCATATTAAAAGTCCCTCTCATTTTCCTAAGCTCCTTCCAGGAAATGAAAATGCCTCAATGGGATCTCCCTAAAGATTTCTCCATTCTGAAGAGCTCCTCAGTATTCTCAGTAATTTGCTGTATTCTTTTACTCTGCTGAAGTTCCTGCTTTTGTCACTATTTAAAACAGGTATTTGGGCAGGTGGTACTTTGGTCTGAGTACAGCTTTTATGTTGAGCCTGTGGATAAAAAAAGGCCTTTTCCAGAGCAAGTGCATTGTACAGGGCATTTTGAAAGAGTCCACAGTTTCTTGTAAAAACATATGGAAAATGAAATCAGAATATTTGGGGATAAATTTTGAACCTTGTGTTCAAAATTTTAACATTCAGTGAATTGCTAAACAGATTCACAATGAACTGTTACAAAGAGCGTGGCTGGGCTGATGCTTTCACCCAAAAGAAACATTAAAAAGCTGTGCTTACCCAGCAGCAGGGGGTTTTATTTGTGAGTGTAAGGCATCAACAATGAGTTGTGCAGCTCCCATTAAACTGCTGACTTATCCTGCTCCACAGACATTTGACTTACCCAGCCAAAGCCAGTGACTCTCAAAGCAAAGACTAAAGCTCCATTTTTAATCCTCTTTACATACACTCATGAAAATCTCCTCAAAAAGAAAGATACACAAAGGTCTCTCCAGGCCTCACCCTTCCTACCAAGCAGGGAATAATCATTTCTTCCCTCTCCCCAAATACCCCTTTTCTTGATAGTTTTATCATAACAGATTTTGAAATATTAAAATATATCAGGGGCTTTATCATATGTGTCTGTTGTTTTGGAGAGGGTTTATTATCCTTTGATTATTCACATGCTACATCTTCAGGAACATGTTTTTTGTGTTTGTGTTTGTGTTTGTTTTTCAGGTTTTGGTAGAAGGTATTTCACAGATTTGCCACAAATGAGAGTTCCCAGTTCTGGCATGTCTGTAAATGTAAGCCTATATCCCCTACTTCCTCTGAAGTTCTGATTCAACAGCCATTTGCCTTTGATCAAACTTTTACAAAAGAAATATAAAATATGCTTATGTGATAAAACCAAGATTATTTGTTAATAAATGAGGTGAGAGGAACTGGTTTGATGACCATGTTTTAATGCTGGTGAAAGGAAAAGCCAAATGAAATGGTGGCAGGTGAGTTACCTGTAAAAACAGCTCTGAACCAAGGACTGAGGTGGGACCTGGCTGCTCTCTGAGTACATCAGGCAGGGAGGAGAAAAATTCCTTAATTTGGCAACCATCAGCAAAGGAAAAATTGGGTAAAACCTGGGCACTTCTGAGGGAAGTTTGGTGAAGTTTTCTAAGTGTCAGAGGAGTGAGGCTCTGAAATGGCCTTGCAGAAGGGGTGGCAAGGCTGGTGAAGCCAGCCAGGGCTGGGACAGAGCGTTACCAGCTTTGCAGAGGGGCTCTGAGTGGGACTGGGACTGGAAGTCTCCATGCAGGGGTTTCAGCTGGTCCCTGCTGGGTTTCTCCTTTTCATAAATCCCTGCTTTATTCTTTAACTCCATCTAGCCTCTGCTCTAGGGCAGCCTGCACAAGGCATCAAGGGAACTGACTTGCTGCGTGTGCTGATCTGTGCTGTCTTCTGTGGCACCAGAAACCAGCAGGGCAAATGTTCCTGAAGCTGCTGAACCCCACAATTTGCTGCCACAGGCAGCCAGGGAGGGGATGACCTGGACTGCATGCCCAGTCCTGTTAACATCACTGGGCTTACTCAGATATGATGGCATAGAGCTGAATTTACACCAAACCCATCTGTCACCATGTCTTTGCTGAGTTTATTCTTGCAACAGAAGTGAAGTTTATCCTGGATAAGGAGGTTTGGAGTGTGGTTCGTGTGGTGAAATAGCTATGACATTCTCAAATTTGTTGCTGAAATAGAAAAAATATTTTCTAGCAACTCAAAATTTATTTGAACTCAAAAATAATCCCTTGGTGATCCCAGTTTCAAATATATGCAGTGGTTCTAAAGTTCAGTATTTTCCCTAGACAAAACAATAAACATTGAAGTTATGAAATTTCCATCTTTGAAAGAATTGTGGTGCCAGAATAGTCATTATGATGCAATTCAACAACTGAATTAGATTTCTGAATGCTGAGCTGATGCAACAGAAGTGAAAAATAATAAATGGATTTACCTGCTCTTTTATACCTTTGGGTATAAGCAGCTAACAACAGTGAATTACATAAACAGAGCTGCAAAGTTTAGAGTTATTCACAGCCAGAAATTTATTCCTTTAATCAGATGATCTCTGAAGAGCAATTACTTTGATACATATTAGGAAAATGTTTTTCAGAGTGGGAAAAATGTCCAAATGGACCTACATAGCTTCTATGGTTTAATCTAACAGGAATTATCAGTTTTTTTATCATTGTAACGCCTCACACTGTCCACAAAGTGACTTTTTTCTCTCATGTCTGACCACCAGTGAATCACAGTTCTTAACAGACAGATAAATTATGTGTTTTGGAAAAGGGTTTAGGAATAAAAAGTTTACTTCTCCATTTGTTCCTATAACAATTCTGAAATATGATACTATAATTGATGGACATTTTTCAATTAAAAACAATCCAATAAAATTCAACTTGTTCTTACCTCATAAGCATTTCGGCCAAACTCTTTGCATCTAGAAGGAAATAGAAGAAATGTCATCACAAATGAAAATCTATTTGAGAGGTGCATTATTAACAAGGGATTTGAATCAGCCATGTGTAACACCACTGTTGTTTCCAGATCAATGGCAAGGAAAAAAAAGAGTGTCTCAAAGTCCCTCCTTTTGCTGAAATTGCATATTTGCTCCAAACAGTCCTGTTTAGTTCCTCAGTAGCACCAAAGATGGTAAGAGAAATACAAGTTATTGTATTCTCTTATCTTTTCTAGTTAAACCATTGGTTTAACTAGGAAAAAAAACTACATAAACATATTAGAAATAGGAACAATTTAACAAATAACGAGGATGTCAGTTCTTTCGTGCAATGGGTAGCACATGAACAGGTGAGGGAAGAAGAAAAGGCAAGAAAATAGGAATTTTGATATCCATCTCTGGGCAAGAGCCAAAGCCAGGCTGGATGAGCTGTTGTCAACCTGTCAATTCCAAACCAAATGTAATTGCACCAGATGTGAGCAAGGGAGGGCTCCAAGGAGTCAACTTAGAATCACAGAATCCCTGAGGCTGGAAAGGACCTCCAAGAGTTCAGGCTGTGCCTGATGCCCACCCTGTCCCCAGCCCAGGGCACTCAGTGCCACCTCCAGGGGACACCTGCAGGGATGGGCACTGCAAAGCTCCCTGGGCAGCCCCTGCCAAGGCCTGAGCACCCTTTCCATGGGCAAATTCCTGCTGCTGTCCCAGCTGAGCCTGCCCTGGCACAAACTTGCTTGGTTGCACTCAAATATGAATATTTTCCCACTAGCAATAATTCAAAACTACTGCTGGGTCTTCAGAGTATGGTCTACACATGAAATGAGGATAGCTCATTCCCACATGGATCAGCCCTGCAAAATAAGACGCTGCTGAAGGAAAAATATTCCTCCTGTTCTTGTCATTGCTGCTATTATCAGCAGCAAATCCTTTGGGACTATAATTATTCCAATACTTATCAGTTCAAAAGGCACAGCTGAAGTTTGGTTTTTCAGGTAGGCTTCTGTAAAACTTTATCAACATAATATACTAATTTCTGTGGTATCATCCAGCAAAAACAGGCAGCTCTGCTTTGTTCTCCTGCAGTCTGCTGCTAAACAAACTCACTTAAAATGCTGATTCCCAAGTCCTTAAGTTTATCACACAGCAACAAAGCAGCCTTTTGTGCAACCAAGTGAAGCAAATCTGAGAAAAAAGCAATTCCAAGTTCTAAGTCTTCAAACACCTCTTATAAGGCAGTTTACATTTCTTCTTTTATCTGCTTCTTGTAAATCTACCAGCACCTGCCAAAACATTTACTGAATTTATCTTTGTTTTCTCCATCCCACCTGTTTTATTCCTCAATCACCTCTTGGGTCTCCAACGCCTACAACAATTTCCTTACTTGTGATCCTATTAAATATCCTGCTTTTAAAATTCCAAGGATGCAGGCAGAAACAAGCCACCATCTTAACACATCTCTACAGTTTGTGTTGTACTAATTTTTAAAAGGAATGGACAGAGGGCTCTTTTTATTCATGAAAAAATCTCAGCAAAACCCCTTTTATCCACTTCTCTGAATTGTGTTTATCTGACACAGGGCCAGCTTGCCTCTCTTAGGCTTTATTCCTCACCTGCCACTAGAGAAGCTGAAATTCTGTGCTCCCTCTAGGTCTGCTTGCTCTACTCCTTAATTTTTACCCTTCCTCCATCCCTTTCCAGCACAAAGCATGGAAGATTCATGCTGGAGGGAAACATGGTTCATCTGTGGTGTCTCATCTAAACCAAACATTTATTCTGGGCACTCAGAATTCCTATTTTCTACCTGGAATGAGATTGCCTTTGCCATTAACACCTGGAAGTGGCAGTGCCTAGTAGATGACAATATTTTTGCCATCAGTCATAAACCAAAAGACCAACACTGCTGCTCCCAAAGGAGTTTTGTTACTGACTTCCAAAAACCCAGGAAGGGACAAATTTCTTCAGAAGAATACAAAAAGCCAATCAAACACAACACAATAATAATAATGACACCGGTTGCAAGTAATGGGGTTGTTTTTAGCAAATTTTATGATGCTTCTTGCTATTCCAGCAGCACCAGGATCATGAAGACCCTGTGCACACATTCTCCCTCCAGCACACATAATCAGGGTGGTTTAATATGCAAATATTGTTTTCATTCAGCCAGCAGCTTTTTGAAGAAATTGCTGCCTCCTTAAATGAAGTCTGTGGGTATTTGTGCAAGGAATTCACAACTCAAGAAAAGAAGAAGGGACAAAGTTGCAAATTATTACAGTGTACTTCAGTTTGCTTTTCATAAATTTTTTATCAGGTTTAAATGGCAAACAATCTCCCTCACATATTCTCAGGTGCTGCCCAGCACACAAATGATTTCCATATTGCATCTGGAAAAAAAAAAATCACAGCAATTCATGTACGTGGCACATAAGTTCTTGTTAGCATGTGTTGATTCTTGGTTAAAGAGATGCACAGGAGATTGTGCACCTGCAGTAAAAAATAACATGAGGCATCAGCAAGACCATGCAATGTGTCAAAAGCTGAATGAGGAAGTACTGAAGGGAAAAAACTCTGTCAGCTAAGCTTAAATTTGGCAATACTCCAAGCAGATTGTTCAAATGGTGAGCAGAACTGCTGGAGTTAATGATGGGCACACAGGTTGGTGTGGGATGGGACAAAAACAAAGCTAAACAGATATAAAGGGCTCCTCTGTATCCATCAAACCAAAATCCAGAAGCCTAAAAGTCAATGTCAGAGAATCATGGAATGGGTTTGGATGGAAGGCCCTTAAAGCCCATCCAGTGCCACCCCTGCCATGGCAGGGACACCTTCCACTGTGCCAGGCTGCTCCAGCCCCAGTGTCCAACCTGGCCTTGGGCACTGCCAGGGATCCAGGGACAGCCACAAAATCTCTGGGCAACCTATTCCAGTGTTTCACCACCATCACAGGGAAGAATTTCTACCTAATATCCCATCCAGCCCTGCCCTCTGACAGTGGGAGCCATTCCCTGTGTGTTGTCCCTGCATGCCCTGGAAATTGTCTCTCTCCAGGTTTCCTGGGGCTCCTTCAGGCCCTGCAAGGCCACCCTGAGCTCAGCCCAAAGCTTCTCCTGTGCAGCTGAACAATCCCAGCTGTGCCAGCCTTTCCTGCCAGCAGAGCTGCTCCATCCCTCTGCTCATCCTGGAGCCTCCTCTGGGCTCTCTGCAGCAGCTCCAGCTCCTCCCTGTGCTGGGACCTCTCTACAACAACATCATGTGTCCAAAACATCAGCTCCAGGAGAAATGTCATTGTCACAAACCAATGACCAGAGATTTTAATGTGCTTTTCCTGCAGTACCCTTTTGATCAGCTGATTGATAATACTTTTAAAATGAGCCAGCATCCCTGGCTGTGTCCTGTCACCTCCCAATTTTGAGGTGGTGAAAGCAGGGAAGGGGGCATGGATGACACAGGGAAGGGGATGATCTTTGCTCCAGCCAAGCATCACTTCAGTGAAAAAGCCACAGCCATCACTTTTGTTTGCTGGCACAGTCACCTTTAAAATTCTTAACACACTTTTCCCCCTGGGAAATCAAGGACAGTGATAGAGTTTTAAATTGCATCCTGCCACTCCTGAACTATCGTGCCACACTGATCCTTTCTGCTTGTGTTAAGGTGAATTGGATTCAAAAACAAAGGGAAAACCATTCCAGGAGTAGCAGAGCTGGGTTAATAGCCAGAAGGAGCATTAAGCCATCAGGCTTCTCTTTGAGAATATCTGCTGAACTCCTGAGTGGCTGCATGAACGCCAGCAGCTGAGTGACCTTTTTGTGTGACCTGGCTGGTGGAACTACTAAACTTGGCAAAACCCAGGACTTTGGTGAGAAATCTGTTTTCTTTATAAAGGAGGAAGAAAAATGTTTAACTGTCCCTACATCCAGACAAGTGGTAAAAGGATCAAGAATGGAGAAGCTGCTGTTCTTCAGCAGAAATGGGAACTCAAGCCTATTGTCCATAAGCAGGGATACAAATGCTTGCATGCACAGCACACTGCAAATAAATCTGCAATTCCCTCTCCTCTTTGTCAAACAGGTTCAAAAAAACCACATCTGCAGTTACAAAAGCAAGAGTTACACCTGTAATTTGCACAAATTATTTTAGAAAGTCCTATTGTGGAGATTATTTTTCTGATGTAGGCTAGAGGAAATCCTGATTTAGGAAAGAAGAATATTGTGCCTCAAAGAAATCCCACCAGCTCATACAAACATTTCAAAAATGTGATATTTCCTTTTCAAAAATTGTATGAAATGTAATCACAACAATAACTAGAGTTAACCATTTATTTTTTAGTTAGGACATCAGAAAAACGTGCACATATTTGTTTTAGAGAACCTAGTAAGTTCTCTGGAACAGCAATACTTATTGTCAGGAAAGCTTTTAGAACATGAAGTTTCTGCTCCAGAAGAGCAGCAAATGTCAAACATAGGATCAGTCTTCAAAATGAATGAGAAAAAAAAAATCTGAATTACTGAAGTCCTATCAGTCTGATCATGGCAATGCACAAAATAATAATAAAAAAATTGAGTGAATCTTAATGAAATGAATTAAAAGGAGAATTGGGGCCAATCAATACAGACTTGTGGTCAAGCAGCCATCTCAAACAAAGTGGACTTTTTAAAAATGAGATTAAAATTTGCTGAGAATTAATGACATTGAAAAAAACTCTCACCGTGATATGAATAAATAGCAGTAAAAGATCATATTTATGTTTCCCTAAAACAAAGTTTCAGTAACTCAAACAATTTTCACAGAAAGTAGCATGATGCAAAAATTAAACAGCCAGTAAAAGATCATATTTATGTTTCCCTAAAACAAAGTTTCAGTAAAACAATTTTAACAGAAAGTAGCATGATGCAAAAAAACCACAGTAGCTATTTAAAATGCATTTCAACATATTCAGAGCCCAATTTGAAGCAGAGAATCATTATTCAGTATTTCTTATCTGGGAGATTTATCAATGGTCTGGAGTAAATAAAATAATATCTGATAAAAGTTTGAAAATGATACAAGAATTTGGTAGCTAAAATATAAGTAAAATGCCAGATCACTAAGAAAATATCAGGATTATCAGGTCATACATCAAGAACACAAACCAGGGCTGCACAACAGGGAATATCTTCCTGTTGCAGAGCAATCCTAGAACTGGCAAATCATCTCAATGGATAAAATGTTAAGGATGTAAACGATGGGAAAACTACAGAGGAAAATTAAAATATATTAATCTGTTCATTTACCAATTAAAACATTAAGAAATGACTTGGTTACCACCATGTGGAAAGGATATCCTTGGAGACTGAAAATGATACATAAAAACAACTTCTGTACTGTAGAGAAGTAAGACAGGACCAGATGGGATGTCGAGCTGTAGTGTGACAAATTCAGCTAAGTGAGACACAACTTTTACAGAAAGGGTAGTTAAATACCGATTTCTTTTATCAAAAGTACTGATGAAATCTTTTCCACTGCCTGTGTTTAAGTGAAGCCCCAATATTTTTCTAAATTCCTTATTTCCGAGAGGAAATAGTTCAGAGAAATTTTATTTTATGCAAAAGCCACCCTGGTCAGTGATCATCATCCTTCCTCAAGGGACAGTAACTCAAGATTCTATGAATACTTCTAAATTAACCATGAAAAAATAATGTGTAGAAACAAAAATTTCTAGAGCCAAAGGGCTTGAGATGCCCTGCTCATTACTGGATGGAATTCCACAGTATTTCTAAGAAGATAACACTTTCTTCTTCTTTACCACATTTTTGTTTAAATGAAAAAAACCCCCCAAAATTGGGAAGGTAAATGGCTTATAAGGTTTTGAAGAAAAAGTGATTATACAAGCTAAAGCATCCAGATGTCCTGATTTCCAAGGCTGTGTATGAACCATAAGGTTGATTGTCCTTCTTTATATATGAATTTGCCCATGCCCTCTGTCTTTTTTTTTATTTTTTTACTCCAAAATATTGTTACAAAGGACAAAATTAAACCCAAAATAGAGAGAAGTAGGAAGGTCAGAAGGAAAACATAGGGTTTGCCTTGGTTTTAATAGGTACCATGATCACATTTTGGTTAAAATACAAATAACTAATCAATTTGGTGTCTCCTGGAAAAACTCAGGATTATTTTTTGCAGATGATAAAATGTTTTACTATTAATTCAGGTTTGGATTTGAAAGGGTTTTCCCAAATACTTTCAGGGAATACCTTCCCAAAATACCTTTTGCCAGTGCAAAAGCTACAGGGCAGCAGTGTCAGACTGGAAGGGTCAAAAACTTGCTTGTGGCTCAGCCAGGGGTTTTTGCTAGAAAAATGATAAAGCTGAATGAATTCCCAGATCTAAATCTTATTCACATAACAAACAACTGAATTTAAATAAGGATTAGAGGAAAATCAGATCAGCGACAATGAAAAGTCAGTGAACAATGAAGTGCTGTGTAAGTTCTATTACAAAAAATCATGGGGAAAATGTGGTAACAAATCTGAGAATATCTGGTTGTGTGTTCTATTCTACTAAAATCTGGCTACTTTCATTTTATAATTTGGAAATAATGGTTAGCATCTGCTGGAGAACTGAGATTCCCTTGACTTCAGAACATCTGATTTCATCCTCCAAAAAAAAAAAATCTACTTTAAGGTCATCGAGGGAAGCAAACAAACAACAAAAAAAAGCAAAACAAACCAATGAGAAATATCTTCCTTTCCCCCATGCAAAATAAAAACAATGTATTTATTGATAATTTCTTTTAGAAACTTATGACCAAAAGAAAAAGAAGGCATTTCTACAGAAAACACACACACTTTGTTCTGTACTGCAGGAAAATGATCCCAGCTGGGGATTGCACACTTTGGTCACGTGCAGCCCCACTCCTATTTCCATGTTCAGGCAGAGAGAAGTTCCACAGACACCCCCTTACCTCGCAGCCTCTTCAGCCTCTGCTCCCTCCTCCTCCTCCTCACGATCAGCAGCATCACAAAGAGCAGCAAGACCCCAACCAAGATACAGGAGATGGTCACCAGCATCTTTAGCCCTTCGTTGGTTCCCAGCCCCTCCTCACTTTGCACAACCGACTTGATGAGAGGAGGGATTGTACCTGGAAACAGGGTCATGGCATTAGAGGCCTCTTAACGAGGACAAATATTGAGTTCTCAGGGAATAAGGCATGTTGTTGCTTCAGCTGCAGGCAGAACCCTCAGCAGGATTTTTCTGTTTGGGGTGGAGGCTACATTTGTGTGTCTGATGGCCACAAACACATAACCAGGCTCATGGTAATGAGGGACTGACTGCAGAGACTATCAGAAAGCCAGAAGAATTACATTCATTGATTAAGGAAAACCATGTCTGATATGCAGTCAAATAGTGTGATTAATTTTGAGTCCTATTAAATTATTAAGAAGCTGTAAGAGAGCTCAGAATTCCTCCCTATGTCTATTATTCCTTATTATGGGGAAATAGCACTGCTGTGACATTTCTGCTGGGCTTTGCTGTGCATGGAACTCATTTGACAAAGCTCATTTTGTGCCACATACATCAGATTAATCCTTTGCACAGAAACATTCTGCTATCAGTTCTGAGGGTGCAGCAGTGATAGGGATCTGAAATTCAGACAGCCAAGCTGATACTAATCTGCTAAAGACTGTCTGACATTATACTCATCAGTAAAACAGGAGAGTAATGCTGGATAGAAACAATCAAATTTTGAGAGGGAAACGAGGGAAATGAATCTACCAGCTACTGGCAGGCAGCTCACTTTTTCATTCTGGGACATATTTGCATTTTGAATATACCTGGCTTCCTGGTGATATATAATACTTGAACTTTTCAATTCTTTCTTCTTTACCTCTAAGGGACGTGAGAAGAATGCAGCACCTTCTGTGGAAGGCTGTTTAGTCATGGAAGACTTCTCACTCATTTCCTGATTACTATTAAACTGCTGAATGCAACCACAAATGAGGCTATAAAATGCAGATTTGCTTGAAATGCACAGAAACACGTAAGTATTGTGAACTGTGATGACTTTGGATGGAAGCTATTAAATTTTAACCAGCTACTGAAACATAAAAGTGGCTACTTGCTAAAAGGAAAGGAGGGTGAGAGAGAAAAACAGACACATCCTTTTTTACATTTTAATTGCTGCATTAAGCGATATAGTTATATCTCATTATGTGCTACACAGTATCAGAAGAAGAACTGAGATCTGATGCAGTACAGTGTGAGTGCCATAACCACAGTGAAAATGTAGAATCCCAAGTTCTGGTTTTTTCAGAAGAGTTATTTCAGCTGCATATAAAGAGAAGAGCAGCTCCCTAAAGGGACAAAGATGAAAAGAAAAGCTACAACCATCCAAACCTATATTAGGTGCTTTGGAAAATTTGTTTTCTTACAATTGCATTTGGAATATTTTTCTAATGCTCCACTAGAGTTCTTCTCCATAATTTTCTTTTCTTTTTTTTTTTTTTGTAATTTTCTGTTTCTAGAACACACAGCAGGATATTTTCATCTTGCCTTGAGATGCACATTTTGCACTGCTTTAAAGGCAAATAAAATTATTAGATGAAGAAATGGAAAGAACTTCAAGCTCCTGGAGGTAATACTAATAACTGTCTCTATATCTTCCTAAACCCTCATGGATAGTAAAGGGCCAAAGTTTTCTCTGAATTACAGTCACAGAAACCATTAGGTTGAAGACTTCCTAAAATTTGTCTTGCTTTCCTTAGCACTTTGATGAAAATCAAATGATGAGTGGCCTTTATTTCACTTTAACCTGAAGTGTTTAGATATGTGATTATCACTATCCATACCTCTCTCTAGGCAAATGTAAACCTCATAACATTATAAACAGGCAGTTGGAGCTTAATTAAAAAGCCATACTGCACGTTTTCACATCACCCCTTTGTTGCTTTTCATCAGTTGCATTAGAAATTACCAAAAATTAATCCTGCCATCCCTGGAGAAAACACCATTTCAACATTTGCTGTCATTCTAGGTGCCTGCTGAGAGCGGAATGGTCAAAGCTTTTCTCAGGACTCAGTCCCGGACAAAAGGGGAGGGTTTGTTTTGTTTTCCAGGTCGGTTCACCATCACCCTTTGTTAGCCTGATTGGTGCCTCACAGAAATTGTAATCTGAATATCTCTGACTCCTTTTCCCCCTGGGTCGCAGCATCTCCCACTGCACCCTGTCAATTCAGGAGTGTTTTCCCGTGTCCTTCAGGGCAGGGAGTGCCTGGGTGGGTCAGAATCAATTAGCAGAGTTTAGAGCTGATCCGATTTAATGCCAGGGCTAGCGAGGAGCTGATCCCCGAGCTGGGAAGCTCCTTTGCAGCTCTCCACAACCGCAGCCGCACAGGGCTAAAAATATCTCCTTATGGATTGCGTGCTTCTGAAAAAACAAGGGGCAGGCAGGTCAGGCAAACCTGTAAGCTGGAAATTGTTACTGAAATGCCCACGAACAGAGAGCAAAGAGCTGCACGTAGGTTTGTCATTAACCCTCTGACCTGATTCAGCACGGGGAGATTTGAGGGGAAGGATGCTGAGCCATAATATTCCTCAGCAGCTCTCCCACACACAGCAAAGTGACCCAAAACCACGTAACTCTGGGATTTCTGCAAACTTTACAAAGGCTTTATCTTAAAGCTGCTAAAGCTTCTAAGCTTGTTCTTAGCGTTTGGCATCCCAGAACTTTCATACGCTGTATTATCTAATCTTCAAAGTGCTACTCCTGTATCTGCTTTATCTGAGGGGCAGCTGTGACCCCTGGCAGCTGGAAGGGGCTAATCTCACATCACGGGGTGAATCAAAGGTAGAGGCAGGGACAGAACTCAAAAGTGGAGCTGGCCAAGAAGTTTCCACTGGTGTTTTTTTCTGCAAACAGAAATTCCCTGTCTAAGGAAGCAAAAATTTCTGTATCAAATACTTGTAAGAATGATAATCATCATCATCATCATCATCAGTTTCTAATTTCAGTTCTGAGCCAAACCTAGCAAATCTAGAAAATCTGAAAACTCAAATTTGCTTTTCCATCCATGTTTTCCTCTCATAACCTCAGGGTCAGTATTTGAGCTTGCTCTGCCTCTCTAAGGCACAATTCAGTCCTGGCAAAGCACGCTTCACAAACAAAACCAGCAATATCACAAATGGGAAATTTTCTAATTTTCTAGATGACCAGAAGCAGTGGCCCAGGAAATTTAATGCTCCAAATATTTTTTACTGTTTCATTTTATCCCTTTTAAAGTTGCTATACAGCAACATAAAAAATCAAAGGGTGTGCAGGTCACATCAGGGTAAGTATCATCAAAGAGCAGAGCCTGACAACATTTCAGATCAGATCACTGTAAGAATAGTTTTGATTTGAGTGCTACAAGTGGAAATTTAAGGCTCTCATCTGCATTTTGATATAAATTCATTTTAAGGTATGGCTCAAGACTGTTTGCCCCCAGTCAAATAAAAGTGATGATAATGGAACAACTGAAAGTTGGATGCTGCCTGTGGAAAGATATTGGAAAACAAAACAAAACCAGGATAGGTTAAGTAAAATGAGAAGAAATTAACTCATAATACTTGAAAGAGTTATTGTTGACAACAGCTACACTTCTCAATAAAACAAGTCCTTTACATTCCTGGAAAAACCTGGAACATTTGTGTAGTAACTGCTCAGATCCTGGTTCCCTGTGGGCCTCTGGAGTGCTGAGGCAAGATCTTTCTCTTAATTTTCCAGACTGTGTGAAATAACACGAGGACTTGTGTGGCAGCCTACCAAAGATGATATTTTTCCAAAGGTTGATTAATTATCTGCAAGAGCTGCTGAGCATCCAGCACGAAGGCTGGTACAGAGGATGTGTCAGGTGCTGAGGTTTAAACCCTGCTTAAGTCATACCCCACATTCCAGCCTGGGAATGACCCCTGAGCTGCACAAGAGTGGTTCTGTTCATGTGGAGGCGTGTTCCCAACACAGAGTTACAAACAATTACCAATTTGGTGCTGTCACAACCATCAGCTCTTGTTTGAACTCGCTCACCAGTGCTGTAGCTTAATTTAACACTACAGATGTTGCCAAGTGGTTGCACAACGCAGCACAACATCCCTGGCAACACAGCAAGACTTTACACTGGATGTCTCCAGAAAAGCTCTGGCAATTCCCACTGGAGCAATCCAGAGCTGCCATCTGGAGCCATCTGTGCTGCTTTTTTTGCCAGGAACGCAGCCCTTCCCCAGTGTGGAGCCACAAGTGCCAGCAGCCCTCTCACCCAGCCTGGCAGGACCCGAGCTGCACTGAGTGACAAACTGGCACATTTGCTCCTGCCCTCGTGTCCTGGGTTTTGCAGGGTGGGCAGTAACCCCTGGCAGAAGGGTGGGATGCAACAGCTCCCTCACGGTCTGTGTCCTGCTGCTGGGCATGACAGAGCCATCTGTCACGGCCATTAGTTTCACTGTCCCCTGTCTGTGAGCAGGGATGATTGCACTGCCATTGCTGTGCCCTTGGAGGATGTTATCCAGAGGCTTTCCCAGAGGACAACCTGCTTGGCTGCTCCAATGTGTCCCATAATGGGTTTTAGGCTGTGTCACAGGGAATAGCAATTAAGCCAGACAGCCCCGTGAAGGGCTGCAGGAACAAATTCCATGGAAGACTAAAATTTCATGGAAAAGATGCATGAAATACTAGGAAAGGCCCCTGTAACCACTGGAACTAATGACTTTTAATGTCCTATGATTATGTGTCTCATGGCTGATTGACTTTGGAGTTTTTCTGAAGTGAGGACAAATAAACAATTCCTCTTTTCTGCCTGACAGCCTACTGTCAGGAAATCAGGAGGTTTTTCACATCTTTGAGACTTTTACCTCTCTGACAGCATGGCTGGCAGATTCAAAACAGGGCTTTTTGAGGAGAAAAAATGGAAGATGAGCAAAAAGAAAAAAAAAATCACATAAGAAACTCAAGTAAAACAGCATCTGAGGCGTAAATTAAAGGAAATACTTACTGCCATCATAATTGAGCGTGGCAAATTTGGCTTGTTTCTCTGCACAGCCAGCACTGTTGCACACTCTCATTTGCAGCTCGTACCAGGTGGCCTCCTGGAGGTCGTAGAGGATGTAGGACTTGGACAGGGATGTCCTCTGGGCTGTTGTCCAGACCGTGGTCCCAAAGGGCCGGTATTCCAGGGTGAAGGAGGTGATGGGGCAGCCACCATCGTTCCAGCCGATCAGGTTCAGCCTCACCCGCGTGGTGTTGATGCTGGCGAAGAGCTCCTGCTCCTTGGAAAACTGTGGCTCTAGAGGCAGTAGGATATTCCAGACAAAACGCTTAAATATTGCAGAAAAAGCCTCTCAAAATATAAAACCTAGAGAATAATTTCTAGGGCAATCTTGATTCTAGCTTAAACTCAGTATTTATATATTCAACTTCCCCTCCTCCTCCTTCTTAATTGTTTTTTCCCACTTTGTGCCAGACTCACAAACCCAGATTTTCAAATCAGTATGTAGAAAAAAAATATCCAAACATCCATTGAAAAAATTTGGTTTGTTTTGCCTTGCAGAACTTGATGCAAACTCTTCCTTTATTTTTGAAACTTATCCAGTTCAGAGGATGCTGCTTGCACACCCCTGCAATACTGGCTTGGAGCAGAAATCAGACACTGACTCCATTTCCTTTATACATAAATATACTCCCTGTCTCCCTTCAACATCAAGACAAACAAATCCCTGAAATTTTATAAGAGAAGAGGCAATTTCCTCACGGCAATGAAATAGTTGGAATTGCTATAGTCTGTGACAGTGGAGACACCCTCTTACCAAATATCTGCCAACCCATCTTAGAAAAAAAGTTATTAGAGATAAAAGGACGGAACATCGGCCTGTGGGGGCTTCAAGTCCCACAGCCACAGCCTTTTTTGTCACAGCCATGTAAATGTTTCCTGTTGCATCGTGCTTTTTGTTTTATCAGTAGGTCTATGGTTTGATTTGTAATTTAGTAGTTTTCCTTGGTGCTGGTCTTTCTTTTGTCTCCACCCTTTTCCCAGAAATGTCGTCAGCTAGTTTCTAGTTTCTATTTCTCCAAATTTTACCCATTTCCTAAGACTGTTTTTCTTCCTTGGAAGTTTATTGGTTCGCTCCTGTTATCCCCCGCCTGGGTTTTTACTCCCAACTCTCCTGATTTGTTGGAAGTTGGGTCTGCCCCTGCCTTTCCCCTGAGATATAAGTCTTTGTTGGCCCCCTAGCTGGGGCCCAGGAAGAAAGAGGGGAAGAAACACCATCAAATAAAGTTTCCCTGGGACCCCTGTGCGCTGCCTGTGTTTTATTCTGCGCCGAAACAACTGACAACTGGGATTCAAGGAGCTCCAGGGGGAAAACTGCCGCCCCTCACTCTCAACATCAGCTAGCCGGGGAAGCAAAGCGGCAGTTTCCAAAGCCAGGAATATTAAAAGATCCAGGCCTGTTTTCTCACCAACCCAAGGTCTCGAGCAGAGTGCAGGAGCTTTAGGAGGGTGGAGGGGATGGAACCAACGCACCTTTGCCGAGCGTCTTGGCCTCGATGATCTCGCTGATGCGCCCCGGCCCCACCCCGTTCTGGGCAGTCAGGGTGAACTTGTACCAGGTGCCACATTTCAGGGTCTCCAGCCTGTAGGATCTCTCACTGGGGCTGATGGGGAAGCTGCCCCACTGCTCACTGTTATCCTCTGAGTACTGCAGGATGTAACCTGGAGGGAAAGCGCGGATGGCAAGGGTATCACAAATCCTTCAGGGAACCCAAGGAGGCATTTTAAAGACCTAATAAAACTGAAAAAAATTCCCATGTGCAGGGAAACATACAGCTCTCCCCTGACTGAAAGATACCAGGCAATACATTTTGCCCACCCTGACAACAAAATACAATTTTTTATGATGGCTTGGAGGGGAAAAGAAAAGGATGGATATTTCTAAGGACCCTTCAATCAGCAACAACGAGATGATGAACCTGCACCCTCCAAAATGAATGGTTAGAGATTACAATTTGGAAAATCAGATAGAGAAACTGTCATAACAGCTGAGGAGAAAGTGATTAAATGTGTGAATAAACCACCACAAAGACAAACTGCAATTTACTGAAAGCTGTTATCACCATGATAGTGCACATTAAGGGTTGACAGCCATACAGATTTGGTTGTTTTTCTCTTTTTTTTTATTTTATTTTTTTTTGGGAGCCATTCATAATTTTATACTAATCCCATCAACATATGATAATTTAGTAAGAAGCAGCAATTAACCTGAATTACATTACCTCGGATAGAACTGCCACCATTGTCTCCAGGTATCCAGGAAAGAGTGATAGAGGAAGATGTAGTTTTGGATACAGTGAGTCTTGGCTGGTCTGGTGGAACTAGATGGGAAAATAGTTAAAAATAGAAAATGCAATCAAATGGTTTGACACAATGTTAATCACTTCTAACAGTCATTTATCAAATAGCTGTTTTGAGTTGCAAAAAATGCAAATGATTTCTGTCAAAGTGTCTGTTTAGCTGACATCCTTGGTTAAGATGAGAACAGACAAGCTCTCATTTTTTTATTTAATTTTTTGCACAATTTTGTCTTTCAATTCTTAACCTTTGTTTTTCTCTGAAATTTTTGCATCTGTTCCGTTAGACCTCAATGGCACAAGAGCTACCCAGCCATTAATTTTAATTGTTTTTGATATCTATTTTGTGGAGAAGATAAACTTTTAGTGACAGGAAACATGTGCTGTTGCAAATGATGCCCCACTCATTCCTGTGTTTGCAGGCTATTATGGCAAAAATGAAAATAAGGTGCAAATCAAGGGCTTCTGCCAGTGCAAAAGTGAGAGTTAATTAGGTATCATAGATAGATTTGTGACTGGAGGCAGATCCAGTCCTCTTCTGAACCACTGAGGCTTTTGGTATAAAGAATTCCCAACCTTGTCAGCAAAAACTGGAAGGACTTCAGCTCTGCTGCTCCCCATAAACATTATGCGGGATGGAAGATCAGGGTTCCAAGGATCAGCTGCTGACTGAGTGCAGGAATAAAGCAAGGGATTAAACTCTCATCCCCTTCCCAGTTCCCAGCTTCCTTTGGAGGAAAATCATGGAATGGTTTGGGTTGGAAAAGACCTTAAAGATCATCCATTCCAATCCAGTGCCATGGCAGGGACAACTTCCACTGTCCCAGGTTGCTCCGAGTCCTGTCCAACCTGGCCTTGGACACTTCCAGGGATCCAGGGGCATCCACAGTTTCTCTGGGCAACCTGTGCCAGGGCCTCACCATCCTTACTGGAGTAATTTCTCCCAGCATTAAGGAGCAGAGAAGGAGCCCTGCCACATCCCAACAAGTTGCACTGGATAGGACAAACTGGGACTAAGAACTGACAGAGGGAACTGGGAATGGAAATGGACTGGGAATGTTCTGCTGCCAGAAACATACACAAAATCGAGCTTTGCTGCCTCACGAATAAGGAGTGAGGTATGGACAGTGTCCATGCTTGCAAAGGATCAAGAAACAGCAGCAAAAATGGGATGGAAATCTGGGGAGGAGAGACAACAGGATGGCCACAGCTCCTCTGGCACGAGACAGAAGAGGATGGTGGTGTCAGTGACCCGTGCTGGCAGGAGCTGCCCTTGTTCTGACACAGTCCCATGACCAGGCAGGACAGAAGTCCAGAATGTCCTTCTGTATCCAGCATTCTGCTGCCAGAGAACATTGCCTGCTTTGCCTATGCTTAAGGGGCAGCTCTTCCTACAGAGTGAAACTCCAGGGAAATCTCCCCACTGCAGTTCATGTTCGAGACATCAGACTGCAGAATAATGGGTGCTGATGTAAGGCAGAGTCTGCTGCTTTCCAGCTATGGATTACTTCAAAGACAAGTTGATTTTTTTTGCCCTCACAGGGCCAAACAGGGCTGAAGAAAACAAAAGAGACAGTTTATACTCTAAAGGAAAATTCCCTTTGTGAGATGGATTTGTTCTGTTATTCTGAGTGACTTGGCTGATTCCATGGGGAGAGACTGCACACATTACACTGGGAAAGATTTATTGCAAAAGCTTTCATCACAGCTTCACCCTATCTACAAAAAATGGTGGTCCCACATATTAAAAGCCACTCTTTGTCTGTCCCTTAGGGAAGTAATATTGATTTGCTTTTAGTTGCTGCAGTTCGATAACAGCAAATATATGCAATTACAGAAGTACTTAGTGAAATATAAATGTAAGGTTTCCATTTGATGGTGTTTTCTCTCCCTACTTCCTGTTGTGGTCATGCTTCAAACGTCACAGAAGAGCATCTTTAGTTTCTGTTGGATTGTAGGGAAGCTGAGATATGCCAATATCTGCCATAATGTTTGCTCCAAGGCTTAGTGGAATGGTTTATGCAGGGATAGAGGGGGACTGCAGTGGAAACAACCTCTCTGTGGTCTCATGTGTTTGCACTTGAAGCTCAAATTCCACATCCAGGAGAGTGATGGTTCACTCTGGTTCAAACATATGCAGTCAATTGAAGCATTTGTAGGATCTGCTTTAGTGCAAGTGAGCAAGGAAATCTGCACAGGGAATTCCTGACATGTGAATACACAGGCTCTGCTTCACTTTATTCTTAGTTTATATTCTTATATTGTCCCTGCTTTTGTACATATCAACACCATCCTGGATGAACTTTGTGCTTTTCAACATGAATATAAAATGTAGGTGGAGAAATGCATTAGCTGAAGGGGTACTGATGTTTCATTTCCAATGCTTCCTCATATTCACCTCATAATAAAATTCTGTGCCTGCATAATGAAGTTTTTGGGCAAGGTCTCAGTACGGAGGAAAATTTCTGCTGATAGCTTTTCAGGAGCTAAATTAAAGGCCTTCACGTCTTTCTGAATTTTGTAATATTAAAATGATACATGTGGTATTTGTAAGGAGAAGGCAGAAGCTGATACCTTCTGTGTGAAGAATTAGAAGATAACTGAATGCAAACACACAGTTGTCAATCTCACAAAAACTCACATAGAGACTTAACTGAGTGTGTGAATTGTTTCACCTAAAGCACCATTTTCTAGATCATAAAATGCCCGTGGCTGAGTCAGAATGACTTATGTATGAATTTGGAAGAATTAGATATGCACTAACACACATAAATACGGTTATTTTGCATTTCAGACACACCTTTAAAGCCGTGGCAGCGATTCCGAGGTAGATCCAACAGCCTTACCTTGCACCTGCAAATTCAAAATGATTTCATCTGAGCCCCAGTTGTTGCTGGCCACACAGCTGTAGTAACCAGAGTCTTCTGCTTTCACAGTCCTGATGACGAAGCTGCCGTTGCTGAAGATGCTCCTTCGCCCATCAATCATCACTAGACTGGGTGTCCCGTTACTGCCTCACAGGAAACAAAGTGCATACATTAAAGAAGTTACAATCAAAATTACTCACAAGTGGATTTTTGTTTTGAAGCAGCTCAGAATGGAATGAGAGGAAAAGGTGTGGGGTGTGGTGTGTCACTTCAATAAGGCAGCAAAGGAGTATTTTTTGTTGGGAAACATATATAATTTGCTTAAAAATGCACTTTTCGTGGACCCAGTGTAGGGAAAAGAGAAATTCACTCCTTCCTTAACCTGTTATTTCATAAAAATGCTGAAATGAGGGCATAGGCAGCTCCTGGCTATGAAGTTCATCCTTATGAACTCATAGGTATTTACATCAATGCACAAGATGGTTTCATAGCACTGTAGTTTCCCTGCTTACACAGTGCTTGGATGAAAATTATTGTCCATGTGTGTTTCCAAGTGGCTCTGTCAGACTGTGAAACTACAGCTGAGAACAGAATAATGGAAAATTAAATATGTGCAAGACATTTACTGCCCACCTCAGCACAAATCACTGTATCAGGCACTTTGCTCTCTCAGAATAAAACCTTCCTGTCTGCCTGAGGATAAAACAAAAACATTCCTAACTTTTACATTTTGAATGTTTACCTTTAGCCCTTCTTCATTATTTTTTATTCCTTTGATCCCCTGTATATCACCACAGCCAGTCAGCTGAAGAAATTTCTAAACTCCTCATCTACTGTGACCAAATCACCACCAACACTCCTTCTCCTTCCTGCCAGCGACCCAGGATCAGCCTCCCCACAACCCTCAGGCTCTGAAGGGAACGGGGTTTATCTGAGCTGTACATTTAGTTGCTGGTTACCTATCCTTCATCCACTTGACTGTTGGAGCAGGGTCCCCCACGGCTTTGCAAGGGAGGACAATGTCCTTCATCCAGGGGGTTGTCACCGTCCCGCTGAACGTCAGGATCCTGGCAGGAGCTGGGAGGGAGACAGCAAGAGAGACTCAAGTGAGGTGTCTGCTCATACAGCCCTTGGAAGGGAAATAGAGACACCCACAATTAAAGGGGGAAAGCCAAACCAATCTAAAAATGATGTTTTTAGGGTGCTAATTCCTTGTAACTAGTAATATTAGCTATTTATTCAAGCAAAATATCAGTTTCAGTACCTGGAAGACAAGTAACTAAAAGAGAGATGAGGCATGGGATTGAAGAGACTTTATAGAGAAAGAGAGCAAGCCCAGTTATTTATCATCTTTACTGACTTTTAGATATTTTGGAGTAGAAATTATGGATGAAAATTATGTCCAAGGCATGCTTCCTCAACACTTCCAGCAAGAATTGTCCACAGCAGATAGGAGTCTCATAAAAAATAAATTATTGATACATCTCTTCCACAACAATTTTGATATTAAGCAAAAGAAACCTTCATGTATATTAGTACATTGTAGAGTCTATCTGAAATCCACAAATGTGAACAAACTGAAATCAGTTTTTATCAGCTCTCAGATCACCTAAGTATATATTAAAAATACCACTTGTGTATTTTTGCTTTATAGATTATGTTAGAATTTCATTTGTTATTCCTCAAAAATGACCCTTCATAGAAATACACTTTCTGCTGGCCTCTAAATTATACATTTTTAAAGCACATACTGAATACAGATAGACAAAATACTGTATTTTTAGTCCTGATCTACTTCAATCGTGCACACAGATCAGAACTTATACTTAATAATCCATTTTGCACCAATTAGGAAAACATGAAAATGAGACCCAGCATCAAATATAACTGGGACAGTTAATCTGGAAAAAGATTCATGCATAAAAGAACAGGCCTTGAAAAATTAAGCAAAATTACTTGAGTAGGCTGCAATGGGACTTGAGATATTCACAAAAAGAAAAGATTTCACAGATTATACAATCAATTTGGACTGTGTTGCCTATGTTCTCTTCAAGCAATGTTGAAGGCCAAGCTTCTCAAGAGGGTTTTTTTTTTTTTTTCCCCTGTGGTCAAAATTTTAACTAAAACACAAATTGAAGGTTTAGGTAACAGACAAAGTGAAGGTTGGGTAATTGGCCAGCACTACTTTCCTAACATGTCCTGTCCTGGCTGAACAGCAGCTGGAGATCCATCCCTGCAGAGCTCTGAGGTTTGACCCTTTCAGGACAGAGCCGTGGTTTGTGCTGCCCTGGGAAGGTCTGACACTGGGCAGTGGAAACTCTCATGGATCAGGCTGGTTTTCCACCTGGGCAGTCCTATGATAGCATTTTCTAGAAAAGGCTTAGTGGGGTGGTCACAGCTTGCCAGAAGCTTCCCCCATGTCCAGCAGACAGGATGAGCTGCTTGCAACCCCTATGCCCATCTTCCTGGGCTGCTGGGGAGGAGGAGGCAGAGCTGGGAAGGAGGGAGGGGTGTGGGGAAGGTGTTTTTAAGATTTATTTTTCTTCTCGTTATCGTGCTCTGATTTTGTTGGTAGTAAATTCAATTAATATCTCTAATTTCAGTCTGTTTTGCCCATGAAGGTATTTTTTGAGTGGTTTTCTCTGTCTTCATCTCAACTCATGAGCCTTTGGGCTGGAGCATCCTGGCACAGTGGAAGGTGTTCCTGCCATGGTAGGGGGTGGAACTGGATGATTTTTAAGGGTTCTTCCAACCCATTCCATGGTTCTCTATTTCTAATATCCCCTGTACTCCAGTCTGATCACAGAAACAGAGCAGTGTGTACTGTCATGTGAACCCCACATTTACATAAGTAAATGTTCCTTAAAAACACTAAACACACAAAGCAACGCAGACTAGGGGGGAAATCTGTTCAGAATTCATGCTCAGGTAGCTCAGAAAACCAGGGGAAACTCAAAAGCCAGACAGTTGTCCCCAGAGGATCAGATTGCCAGGGGTCTGGATCTGTTATTGTCACACTGGCAGCAAATGCCATTCCCCATCAGTCATGGTCAGTAAATCAGAGGGACAAGTGCATGCAAGGTTTTTTGTCTTCTGAGTATATTTGATAGGCTAAATCCACTTCTTTCAAGTCAGCAGTGAAGAGTAATTTGAGGGGCAGGAGCACAGCTTGCTTACGTGGAGGCTGAACTTTCATTGCCATGATTATTTTCTGTTTGTTGGGGATTTTTTTTTTATTATTTCTGTCAGTTAATTACAGAGAATAACAATCTGTTCTGAGAAATGGAAGACACTAAAGAAAGAAAGAAATGTTAACTTGAATTAAGCTTTCATTTAAATTGGACTATCCATTTCACATCAAACCCCTATCCAGACATTCTCATTGTTCTCAAAGGAGTTCTTAAAGGGGTTATAATTAAGTTGACATAATTCAATTCTAAGTTAACTCTTATTAGCTGTCATGATGGTATCATTACTTGGACAGTTACTGTGCAGTAAGAGGAGCAAAAAAAGGAAGCAAACAACTACAAAATAATGGCCCACAGGATGGTTTTGCATTGGGAACTTAATGCAAAATCAGGGTTTAGCTGCTTCTAACCCCGGGATGAGCTGTTTGCTACAGATATAGAGGGGGGTGAAAAAGGTCTTCGAGGCTTTGAGCTCTGCCCATCCTTCCTCATTGTGCAGCCACTGCCCTCAGCACTGATCACCACTTTCTCCCAGCTCCCTAAAAAGCCCTGTGATGCATTCATAACGAAAATTTTGTATGTGATACAATAATTTCTAGCCTAGCTACATCCAAAGTTCATAAAATTGCTATCTATCAGTATTCCTAGTGCCCATCAAACCCTCCACAAATGGATTATTCATTACTTTTACAGTCCTAAGTGCATGTAAGAGGCTTTTCCTGAGCATCATCTAATGCAGACTTTATATTGGAGTATCACTACAAACTCTAAGGTTGACTGGATGCATTCTACTGTCCTTTGAAATAAAGTCTTCTTCAGACTGACCTGTCTATATTGAAGTAATTAATTATTTTTTCTTTTAAGTCATCTTGCCTTTTCATAAAAGTTATTTTTAAGTTAACTTATTTGTCATCATGGATTATGTTATATAAGCTTCAGAGGAGCAGAATTAATTCTGGTAAGCTGGATCAGTTTAAGTCCATGTGGGTCAAGTTGCAACTTCTCAATTTTTGGCAAACAGAGAGCAATTGCACACTGCAATTCCTCATAACTTGAGGTCATGAATATTGGTGCCTGCAAAGCCTGAATTGATCTGTGTTCATCTTTGAACATTTCCCTCTTTTTAAAATGCACAGGGCATGGCAAAAGAGAACTTCTAGTGCATTTTGTGCAGGGTGTGCCTGCAGCCTCAGTCTATTAGGATTGCACCATGTCTAATAATTTTGCCCTTATTTGAGCATTTATTTTTATGCTTGTTTTTGTTTGCTCTTTTCTTTTCATCACCACGCATTAATTACACACAGGTGACAGCAAAGGAGGAACACATTGAAACCTTTGCCTTTTTTCATGATTTGTTTTTTCATGATCTTCCTTCACTGGTGTCCTTTACACTCCTCATCCCCCTTTTAGGATCTCAGCTTTGGTCTCACTGATGTCCATAATGCAGGGTGCACTTATGCTACAATGGAAAAGCTCCAGAATTTTTAGATCTGAAGAACTCTGTTTGCAGCTTCTCCACACTGGGAAACTGTCATGTGTTCAAACAGTAGCCTCCAAAATCATCAATACCATCCACCATAATCACAGAATCCTAGAAGGGTTGGGTTGGAAGGAAGGTTAAAGATCATCCAGTTCCAATCCCCTGCCATGGGCCACTGTCCCAGGCTGCTCCAAGCCCCAGTGACTTGGACACTTCCAGGGATCCAGTGTGCTGTCCCTGCATGCCCTGGAAATTGTCTCTCTCCAGGTTTCCTGGGGCTCCTTCAGGCCCTGCAAGGCCACCCTGAGCTCAGCCCAAAGCTTCTCCTGTGCAGCTGAACAATCCCAGCTGTGCCAGCCTTTCCTGCCAGCAGAGCTGCTCCATCCCTCTGCTCATCCTGGAGCCTCCTCTGGGCTCTCTGCAGCAGCTCCAGCTCCTCCCTGTGCTGGGACAGGGCTGGGGCAGCTCTCAGGTGGGCTCTCACCTGTGGGAGCACAGGGGCAGAATCCCCTCCCCCAACCCTGTGCTTAAACTGCTTTTGATGCAGTCCAGGGTAAGAGCTCTGATGTTAATCTACCAGCTAGACAGGTAGGAACATGAGATTTCCCATGGTGATGGAGTTTGCTCTTCCATGCAGAAAGTGCTTTCATGTTGATGGCACTAGGCTGAAGTTCAGCAAAGCCTTTGCAGAAAGAACCTGTCATCATAATGCACTAGACACTTTATTTTACATCTTTACATCATTAAACACCCAAGTGAAGAATTAGCAGGCTTGTAAAACTGTAAAGCCAATTCAATGTATCTAATTTTGCAGCTCTAGGGATCTGTGCATTTCTCTGCCCATCCTGGCACAGGCTGTAATGGCACCAAGTTGAGCAGTTAAAAAAAAATCAGTTTGAAGATCCCATGGAGAGATTGAGTGGGATGGGACTCTTCTCACTTTGCTGAATGTTAGGCCTCCATTTCCAAGCCAAGGTGTTCTAATGTTGCAAGCATCACATCTCTAAAGGCAGAATTCACAGGCCCCAGCAATATCTTTTAATAGAACAACTAATACAGCTGGAAATAAATATTCAAGATTTCAGGCACATTATCCTTTCATCATATCTGAAATAGAAGCAGCAAACTTCAAAGCTAATGCAAGTAGAGAACAATTGTTCAGAGTTTAGATATGTTAATCAGACCATTTTATACAGAAGATGGTACTTCTGGAGTACACAAGAGATATTACTAAGGAAAGGAATGATAAAGAAGTTACCTTGTACAGCCAGGAAAAGAAATATATTCAGAGGGGGACAGGCATCATCTGCAAACCCCCTGTACCCAACAAGTGAAGATAAAAATGACTCCAAAAAGCAACCTATTCCCAACAAGTGAAGATAAAAATGGCTCCAAAAAGCAATCTATTCCCTTCTAAGGTAGGCTGGATGAGTTACCCCCTGGAGGAGCACGTCATCCCCTCTCTGCTGACTCCAGCAAAACCTGGAGCAATTACCTGTGAGTTGTCACCTTGCCTTTTGTGAGGTAGCTTATTGTATTTGCAGGGTTCCCAGACAAAGGAAGGCATGATGGATCTGACTCCATGTTCTCAGAAGGCTAATTTATTATTCTATTATACTATATTATATTAAATAATACTAAACTAAACTAAAGAATACAGAAAGGATACTTACAGAAGGCTAAAAGATAATAATGATTTTTGTGACTCTCTCTCCAGAGTCCAACACAGCTTGACCCTGATTGGTCATTAAGTCCAAACAATTCACATGAAACCAATGAAAAATCACCTGTTGGATAAACAATCTCCAAACACAATCCAAAGGAAAAAAACACAGGATAAGCAAATGAGATAAGAATTGTTTTCCTTTTTCTCTGAGGCTTCTCAGCTTCCCAGGAGAAGAATCCTGGGCGAAGGGATTTTTCCAGAAAATACGACTGACACAGTAGCTCCTGACAAATCCCACCCTCAGAGAGGCACGGAGAGGCCAAATGAGCCAATCATTCTGCCAGCAATCAGCAGCACAGAAGCCTGGCTGGCTCTGGGCAGCTGTCCCTGTACCTTTGGCCAGTGGCTCCACGGTGATGATCTCGCTGCTGTTGCCTCTGCCCGCAGCCGTCACGGCCACCACCCACACGCTGTACTGGCGGTTCCGGCTCAGGTTGGGGATTCTGTAGGAAAATGAGTCGGGAGAGGCTTCAAACTCGCTGATCACCTGTGGTGGGAGAGACAAATGTTTCCAGGCTAAAATAAGCAGTATTTGGAGAAAATGTGAGTGCTACAAAGCCTGTTACTTCAGGGCTCTTCGGGTGGGTATCGATTGCTCCAAACAGATGGCAGATGGCAATAAACAGAGCAGACACAGTAACTTGTTGCAATCTATTCATATTCAGTGAATTTGTGCCTGTGCCTTGTTTACAGATTGGTTTTATTCAGATTAGGACTTTTATGTGCCATTTATTTTTACAGGGTTGGATAAACAATGGAAGTGGATAAATATGGCTAAATTCTACCATCAGTAGTTCTGACAAACTGATTTAGCTCTACACAAAACTTCCCCAATGGAGGATTCCGTGCTGCATCTGCTGTGAAATCTGGAGTTAACTATTTCTGTCACCTAAAACCTTTGATGTTTTTATTCCTGGGTTTTGGTGGCTTATCCTTCAGCAAGGAATAAAGCTGTGCTCTGTAGCAGACTGTTCAAACTTCCCCCAAGTCTAGTTTTGTTTAATCACGAAATTACTTCCATTCAGAGACTCCCGGCTGAAGGTCATCTCAGCCAGTTGGCTGCATTAGCAGGGAAGGACAAGTGCTGGAAGAAATGCCAGTTCAGTCTCTCCTCTGTCACTCAAGTGCCTTGTCCCAAGGGCTGCAGCACAGCCAACCAGCTGCTCTGCAGTCCTGCTCATCCATGAGAGCCTCTGCATCCTGCTTGGAGCAACCTGTGCAGGGCAAGGTGTGGAGGGACACAGAGATCCCTCCAGGGGGCTTTGAGAGCCTCAGCACATCCTCCATAGGAAGTGTGAGTAGGGAAATCTCAGCTCTGAACAGCGTGACAGCCCTCAATATTGCCACTTTTATTTCTGACACGGGCTTTGTGATGCCTGCGCGTAAAAATAGAGGGGTAATGAAGCATTGGAATGAATAATACTCACTTCCCTGTGCAGTGCTGAGCCTGGTAACGGCTAACTAACACCAGGCTAAAAATAATTAGAGGGTTAATGACGTAGAAAAGAAGATTTTAGCAGGAATCAGCATTAAAAAGAATGCATCAATGTAATCTAAACTCGGTTCAGACTGACAAAGTGTGCAAGGAATCTCTTTGATATACAAATATCTGCTTGTGGTAAAGGCCAATTCCACCTGATTAGCATTTCAAAAAGCATATTGACCTGAAAACATTGGAATATGTAGTCCTTCAAAGTGAATTCCAAATAAATAAGAGATGTTTCTGAGATATCATTAAACACCTCTCCATGTGAACTGGCAGTTTCAGCTGCTGAATGGGTCACTGCACTTCTCTGCTCTTGAGCTGGCCTCTCCTACAGCCTGGGGAAGAGGGGAGTTCATCTCCTCTCACATTTGAAACCCAGAGTGAAGACATCTGTCTCCAAGCCAGGCACCTCAACTCCCTCCAGAGACCATGCAAAGGCTTCTACAAGAACACATTTTGTTCCTTCCATGGACAGTGATTTTTCTGGGAAGACTGGCTTGCACAGCGAAGTTCCCCAGACTCATAACAAGTCCAGAAGGGGAACTTGCTGTATTTTCTAGCCAAACTCATTGCTTCTTTGCTTGTCAAAATGCCAGATTAGTTTGTCCTATTTAGCCAGCGTTTTCCTGGGTTCCCACTTCTGATATGAAGAGGTCAATGCAGCCAGACACCTTTATTATAACGTGAAATATTGCAGCAGCTTTTGAGAACCATCTGCCTTGACATTTACACAAGAATATTGGACAAATGCCCGTAGCTTGACAGGCTGGATCTTTGTGAGGTCATACATAAAAATTACTGTATTGATCATAGCAGAGGAAGCTGAAATTTAATATTCATGAGGCAGCATTTCCTACAGTTAATTTGAAAGTCAAACAGGCCAGGCTGTCTCTGGCACTTAGGCTCCACTCATTAATGCAGTTTCCCAGCACAGGTTCCTTCTAAACCACCACTGACATGGGACATGGATACATGTACTTAGGAACAGCTAAACATCACAGAATTCCTCAGGGCTAACTTTCATTCCAGCAACCACCAGCTCTTTCTCACTGGAATGCCAAAGATGGACAAACAGAAGGATTTTCTGCTCTAAAGCATTTAAAATGCTTTGTTTTAAATTCCCTTCTCTCTCCCAGCATCATTCATCCATTTGCTTCTGTGGCTATTTTAAATGTAAAGTTAATTAGTCTCAGAATTAATTTATTAATTGAATCCGGTAAATGCATCTTCACTAAATTAATGACTCTCATTTTCCTCAAACAAGCTGCTATAGCAAAAGGTTTTGGTTGCTAACTGGTTAACACACATCTTGTTTTTCTTCAGCTCACATTCCCTTTTAAACATTTGGGGTTGCTTCAGTGACAAAGAATCGATTTTACTTTAAACTTTTGCCTGTCATTTCAATTAGCCTAACATGCCAGAGACTTTGATTACACAAGAAGAAAAAAAAGGCAGCTTTGTCAGCAAAGAGAAGATTAAACAATTGAAATAAGAAATATTTAAAGGAATGTCACCTTGTCACATATTGGCCCGTGCATGTGCCAGTATAAAACATAAACTGCTGTTCAATCTTAGGAGCAGTAGCATGCTTGCTCAAGGGATTTTTTTTCCTAACTGCTATTTTTCTTCAGGTTATAGATGATGGGTTAATTTTCCTCCTGCCTTTAGCTCACTGTCTGAGAAGGAGAGACAGAGATCAGTCACTGAAAGCCAGCAAGGGCTGTGAAGAATAAAATGAAATCCAAGTCCTTTATCAGGATGCAGCCAATCTACTTCCCCAACCAGGCAATGGCAAGAGATGCTGAGGAAGAGCTGGTGCAGGGAACATCATTTTCCTCTGCAACTTCAGCCCTATTGGTGTGCATTTCTTGCTACACTTTGAAGCAGCATGCCATCTCCTGGCATTTCTGACTCCTTTAAAGCACAGTTTAATGGGTAATGCGCATAAACTCTGATCCCTCTGGCTTCTATTTTTAATTGCCCGTTCTTAACACAACCTAGGAAAAATTTAGAAGAGTGCTATAGAAAAAAGTACATTTCTAACAGTTTTCCAAGCAGTCAGGGAGTTTTCCAAGCAAGGAATGCCAAGAGATGGCATTTACTACGGGCTGGAAGGTTATTTAGTGAAAGGCAGCCTGGTTCCACACAACTTCTGATTAGATAAGTGAGCTACAGATCTCTGTCTGTGCTCTCTGCAAGTTACAGGAAACCTGGAAGTGAACTGGGAAAGCCATATAGAGACTTTAAGGACATGAGTGAAAAGGAAGAGACAGCCCAGGCTTGTGGTGTGAAGTAAGAGCATGTACAAGTTGGTCACCTGTATATTGGCTGCCTCATGCTGAAAATTAAATATAAATATAAAAATAAAATATATAAATGTATAATTATAAATATAAAATATAAATAATATGTATACTACCTTGAGTGGGGTGTGTGTTTGCACTCCAATTTCAGGTAGAAAATATGACATCATCTAAAAATGGAGCTGGAAGGACTGAGAGATCACCTGAGTCTATCTTTCTTCTTTAAACCAGGTTCATCTGTGTCTGCACAATTTCAAGCAGATGTTTCCCCAACCTGATTTTGAAGACTTACAATAAAAGGAGATTTTGCAACTCCCTAGGCTGCACAATCTATTCCACTGCTTGACTAATCTCATGATTAGAAATAGGTTTTTTTTAATCTAGCTTGAGTTTCCTGCTGCAGTTTCAAGCCATAGCTTCTTTTCCAGTCTATTAGGAACATGAAGAATAGATTATTACCTTGATCTTTGCACCAGTCTTTAATCTACATGAAGTTTTATCGTTTCTTTCCCCACCAGTACCCTCATCTTTTTACAACTAAATAACTCTGGTGCTTTCAACATTGTCCAGAAATCCCATTTTCTCTATCAGTTTCTCTAATAGTATCTTCTGTTATCCTTCAGAGTGTCTAAAGATGGTCCATAGCTTTCTCACTGTTTCCAACCCTGCACTCAACAATTCCAGGGATTCTCATTTGGCTTTCCAGGACAGGGTTATAAAGGCTGTTAATGTTCATCTTGGGAGGCACAATAACCTCAAAATCCTCTTCTGAAGAATCAACAGAATTGCTCTCTACACAGTACTTTTGCAGTTGGTTATTCAGGGTACCCATTTTCTTGCTAAATTTTATCCAACTTTTTCCAGACCAATTTCCCATCAAGACCTGCTTGAACTGTGCTTCTGTCTCCTGTGTACATGCAACCCTTCCCAGCCTGGTCCTCCCTTCTAATTTAATAGGCAGCCTCTCTATTTCATTAGCCAGGTTAGTAATGGAGCCACTGAACAGAGAGGGCTCAGGAGAGACACTGAGGCTGTTCCCTCCTGCCCAAAACAGTGAGCCACTGGGTTTTTATTTTTATTTTTATTTTTTTTTTTTTTTTGCAGCCTCTTACAGAACAGCACTGAGTTTGTTCTAGCCTGAGTTAAATCAGTGAAATGGTGTTTGCATAGCTGGGTCTCTCTTAACAAACATCCCTCCTCTGGACTCAGCTCCGCTGCTGAATGGGAGAGAGCCAGGTGCTGAGTGGAGCACTCCATCCCAGTGATCCACTTTGATTTTTAACTTGGTTTCTAGCTCAGTTTTGTGCTGCTCTAAATAGCTGTTTTCAAAACAATTCTGCTTTGGAGGGGCTCATGATAAGCAGTGCAGGCTGACATCAGTGACCACCACATCGTTCTGGGGCCAGGTGCTGCTCCTTGGGCCCTGTTCAATCGCTGCCACAAATGAGGCCTAGAACAAGCACTGAGCTTCATCAACAATTAAAGTAACTCTTCAATTCTACGTGGTAAAAACACAACAGACTCCATCTTTTTGTACAACTCCATCACAGAATTGTCTGCCTTGCCCTTCCTCAGGCATTGCTGGTCCTGGAAACCACAGAATCATCAAGGCTGGAGGAGAACTTCAAGTCCCACCATCACCCAGCCTCACCAGCATCACCCCAAACCCCGTCCCCAGGGGCCACATCCAGGCTCCTC